CCACCCCAACCCCAAGCCTGTCTGTTCCTGCTCTCCCTCTGCCTCCCAGATTTTTCTTTCAAGCCTTCATTCTTGATGTCATGGGACTATCAGAACAATTTGCTGTTCTTCTGAAAACCTCATCATGTGAGAGTCACTACTTACTGGCGTTTTCCTCCCCTTCCTTGGGGTCTGCAGGCTTTGGTACAACACCAGCCATCTGGGAAAGGAGACGTTGCCATCTGGGACCCTCCTTGCAGCAGAGCAAGTTGGGGAACAAATGCTGTTTTAACCCAGGCTTTCGCCTGGGTTTGGTACGGCAAAATGATTGGGATTAGGGCTACAAGCCTAGCTCTTTTCTTTGCTGCCATGAAAAGCAAGTCCCAACTGCTTGGGGCCTTGGTTCATCCAGCCGAACTTTTGGACAATTGACAAGGAGAAGGGTATTGGCTTTTACAGACGTGGCCCAGCAGCACTGACACATGCAGCATTTGAATTCAGCACAGCCTGCATTTGGAGCCCTCAGGTTTCCCTTCTGTGCTGCCGCTCCTACTTCTACTCATTCCTTATTCATCTTGGACAGTGTCCTGAATCCTCACAGTTAATCTCCAGAATGAAGGGAAAGGAGGAGTGAATGTACCCATCACATAGGGGAGAAAACCGAGACCTGGGGAAGTCCTGTGACTTATTTCAATCACACATTCATTTGAAGGACCTGGAGCTGGAACTCAATGAAAAATACGGACCTGATTTTTCAATTATCAGCCTTAGAGCCAGGTTCATGTGGAAGTTCAATCCCCTTCTGTGTTCGTTCATTAAATATCTGAGTGCCTGGTACATGCAAGGTACAGTGGCAGGTGCTGGGGATACAGAGCACTTAGAGGTCCAGGCCTTGCTCATACATTAGTGGGGGACAAGCCCTAGTAGACAGGGATTCGAGACAGTGTGATAAGTACCTTCAGTGAGGAAGCCAGGTGCTGATGGAGCCCACTGGAGTGACACCTAACCTGGCCTTGGGAAGGTAGGGTTAGGCTTCTGTACAATAAGCGACATCGAACTTGAGACTCAAGAGATATTAGCTCAGGCAAGGGAGGGAGGAACAGCATATGCGGAAGCCTTAAGGCAAAAGGGGCTGAGAAAGTTTAGTGCGGCCAGGGCCTAAGGAGAGAAGCTTGGAGAAGAAAGACAGTGCCAGTTCACGTCGAGGCCTGCAGGCCATGGTAAGGACTCTGAGCATTAGCCAAGAAGCAGTGGGAGGTTGGTGAAGGGCTTGAAGCATGGAATATGGCTTTGTCAGATCTGAGTTTTTGAAAAATCACTCAGCAACATGCGGAGGATAGGTGGGAGAGAGGGCTGAACCTAAGGAGAACTTTTTGCTCACGCAGGAGCTACTCCTTCTGTGAACACCTCAGGAATCCCTGTGGCCAAAAATCATTTCTCGCGGCTTTTTCACTGCAGCTGCTCCCATGCTGACCACTGGCTGTGGGCCAGTGATTCTTTTATGCTTAAGCAAAGAATGAGGGTCTACTGCCAGACAGGAAAGTTCTGTTCTACTTTCCCAGTTTGAAGAATCTGTGTGAAGGGGAGAATTAAATGAGAAATCAGTATCAGGGTGGCTTAATCTAGCCACAAGCAAATGCCAGCCCTGCCACATACAAGCTTGGTGGCAAACACCTCTCTGAGCCTTACTCACCTCACTTGAACAACACAGATAGTAAAGTGCCTCCCTCAGATCTTCGTGACAAGCCTACAAGATGATATATGTGCGTGTAAGGTATACGTGCATGTAAAGTGCCAGGCGTGTAGGAGGTGCCCAGTAAATATTTATTCCCTTGTTGTTTTTGTTCTGTCTTTCCTAAAGCTGCTCCATCTCAGAGGAAAAGCCAGAAATCGTAAAGCCCTTGCAAAGCCTAATTAACACAGTCTGATCTTTTTCCTTTCTCACCCTTTCCTGCCCTCCTCCTGGAATATTCTGATACTCTAGCACTGGCCTCCTTGATGTTTCTTGGACACGCCGGTCACACTCCTGCCTCAGGACCCTCTGATACCAGGGTGGCTTGTTTCCTCACCTCTGTCAAGCTTTGGTTCAGATGTCGTCTCACTGGGACCTCCCCTAAATACTCTCTTTAAAGCTCCAACTCCTCCCCCTTGCCTCCACACAGTTCCCTTTCCTTCCTTGCTTTGTTTTCTTCCACAGCTCTTTTCACCTTCCAACGAGTTACGTAATTTATTTAGTTTTACTTTATTTTATTTTATTTTGTTTGTATTACTTAGTTGGATCATTGTCTCCTCCAACTAGCAGGTAAGCTCCTCAAGGACAGGCATTTTCTTCTGTCTTGTTTTTTGACATATCTGCAATGCTTAGAACAGTGCCAGGCACATAATAGGCGCACAGTAAATGCTTGTTGAATGAATGAGTGAAATGTTTTATCTTCTCCCATGGTAGATAGCACCCAGAATACTGGGAGTTGGGGGAGCACCTGGTATTGAAAAAGTGTGACTGCCCTCTGAGGGCTCTCCTGCGTGTGACTGGGCAGTGACACCTGGCTATTCCATTAGAAGTCACAGATTCCAGCCCTTCCCTCCTTTGTCTGTAAAATGAGGATATTGCCTTGACCCTCACTAACAGCCGAGTTTTAGGAAAAACTGTTAACCCTTAGAAGCTTTTACACAGAAGCACTGGCTAGCTTGTTGTTCTACCTGAAGGCATCGAAAGCAGCATTTCCCGGTTCAGCACCCCTGCCAGTTACCACTGCTGGACAACTGCCATGGTTTTTCTCTTTTGGTCTCTTCCTGTCCCCCACTCATTGAACTTGGAAACAATCTCCCATTGAATCGCATGCAGTGCAATGCCTCATCAGGGACGTGGTTCCCAGAAGGTGGCCTGAATCCATTTCCTTGCCAGCCTTTGAGAGCTAAGGAAGTTACTGTGCATGAAACAAAAGAGATAGCTGTCCCCTGGTGAAGTTGTGTATTTGGTTTAGGTCCATTCATTCATTTATTCGTTCACTTGTTTATTAATATTCAGAGACTCACAGTCAAATAGAAGAGACTGAAGGCAGACAAATAATGAGAGCAGTGGAGGTATATAATGGAGGAGAAAGATTTTGTGTTCGTCAAGTTCCTGCTACAAGAGTCTTGTATGACGGCCCCAGATCTTAGTGGCTTACAACAAATATTCATTTCTTGCCTCCATCTCTAAAGGTCAGCTGGGGTGACCCTGCTTCAGGTGGGTCAGATTCTGGTCTGTCCTTGTATCTCTCTGGCACCCAGACTGAAGAGGCAGTGGCTACCTGGGGCAAGCTCTTCTTGTGACACATGGCAGGAATACAAGAAGCCAAGCCAAACCACACCAGCACACCCATGGCCTATGCTTACATCACACTGTAACATTCCATTGGTCAAAGCAAGTCACAGGCCAAGGTCCACATCAGGAAGGTAGAGATGAATACTTTGCTTACTCTAGTGACAACACGGTTGTATAGTTCTGTTTGGGGTTGGGAATGAATAGTTAGGAACAATAAGCAAATCTACTACAACATTTAACTCTGGCTATGGAAGTTAGGGAAGGCTTCCTGGAGGTGGAGACTTTCATCTTGAAGGAAGATGAGTAGTTTTGAAGGTGAACAACCAGGCAGTCACATATGCAAGTGCAGGTGAATTTTTAAAACAGAGAATGAAATATTGTCTTAATATTTATTTGAGTAGTTTCTGTGGGCATTATATAAAGAGCTACAGGAAGATAAAACAAAGGCCATCAGAGTACCTGTCCATAAGGGCCAAATTCATGGGGGGAGATAAGAAACTTAATTCCAAAGAGGAAAGGAAAATAGATTACCAAGTACACTCTTACTCTGCTGGATGGAACAAAAGTGTGAACTCGGAAAGGAAGCCAGGATATATTTTTAGTAGCTTTATTGGTACAGGATGCAAGGTATGTGCTGATTCATTATTTCATTTAATCCTTACAACCGGTGAGGGACGTCCTACTGCCAGGTAAGCACAAATGAGTGGGAAGGAACTTGCCTCATGGTTCATAGCTAGCGAGTGGTGGAGGGAGTACTTCCTAATAGTTCTATGTTGCCCAAACAAGAATCTAGTCATAAAAATTACTACTACACACATTCTGCTTTATTCTCAAGTCGGGCTGCTTTAAAATTTACTAAACACCTGGTTTTTAGCGTCTACTGTATATGCAGTACTGTGCTTGTTAAAAGGGCCCCCATCCTGGAGCTGACAATTTCAGAAGTCCCATCTGGCTCTGGCCTTCTTCAGGCCTCATCTTCTTCTCACCGCACATGGTGCCTCAGAGAAAATAGGATTCTTGCCCATTGTCCTACTTGAAAATGCTCACTTTGGATGGTGGGGTGTTTTGAAATTCTGCCTCTTTCTTTCCCCCAGTATTTGCACACGTACCAGTACGTGTTCTTGCTCCTCAGAAATGAAGAGCGACAAGCTTGGTGAGTTGCTCCAGGCCCAGCCCTGGTTAGAGGTGGGACTAAGTGCGGAATCACAGTTCCCACTATTGTGCAAACTACCTCTACCTGATACGAGCGCTTCTGTCCTATCCACAGATATACTCCAGTGGAAGGTTCTCATGAAGAAGTGAGCGTTTGTCAATTTTTATTTTCATTTTCTTATCCATAATCACTTGACAACTGGAATCGCTTCTCCCTGGGTTTACTGAGCTTTACTGAGAGAGGTTAGCCCGGTGTCCCCAGGAGTTTGCAGAGAGAGAAGGAACCCGCTCCTTTTTGCAGCCATCCCTTTCCTCAGAGGATCGTTAAACATTGACAGGTGTTTCTGTGTGCTCTCCATCTCGACGGTCTGAAATTGAGTCAAAGCATGTTTCATGACCCATTTGCCATTTGCTCAGGAAGCCGGCAGAACTGGTTTCCCTGATCTCAGAGACCATCTCACATGGTCATTTTTTCCCCCAGGCATGTGATAAAACTGGTAATAAAGAGCAATGCTTATAGGAACTGCCTCTCACTGGTGTTTACTGTCTCACGATTCCCCAGCTAGGTGATGCTCCGATGCTGCTGACTCTCACTGAGTTGATGACGAGGGCGGAAGGAGAATAAACTGTGCCTAAGACTGGTCCAGAGCGGGAGTGTGAGTAGAAATGCTACGGTAGAAGCAACCTGTCTGGCAAGGAATGCAGCGTCCTTCTGACAGCCTCTTTGTGCCGACGTCCCACAGATCATGACTGCCTCACCAGAAAGGGCGCTTAGGATTTTTTAATCGGCCACCTAAAACTTCTACTGAGCCATAACAAGACTTCTGCTGCAGAGCTGAACAAGACATTGTTTCATTTCGTTTTCACATCTTTTGACCATCCAGGCTACCATCAGAGTTGTTTAGCTTTCAGAATTTTAAGTCAGTGTTGTGACTGTTATTTTTGGGTACGCCTTTCAAAATGATCGATTTAAGTTTCCTGACGGAGGAGGAGCAAGAGGCCATCATGAAGGTTCTGCAGCGGGATGCTGACCTGAAGAGGGTCGAAGAAGAGAGAGTCAGGTAAAGGGCCAGAGAGGTCCTGGGGCATGGGGAAGGGGGGCCGGTCTGTCAGACGATGGGACACTTTTTTTTTTTTTCCTCAACCATAAGTGGTAGTTCTGACTTGGAGCCTGAATTTATGGGTTCCAATTTTAGGTTTACTTCCTGGATGGAACATTTTCCTCCTTGGTGTCTCTTAATTTATCCCTCAGGACTCTTGCCAGAAAGACAGTCTTGATGAAGAAAACCTAACTAAACTCCTTTAACTTATTAAACACTGAATTCAAAAGGAAATACATACAAACGCATATATACATCTACAGAGATGGATGTGTGTGTATAGTTATATCCATGGCTTCTTTTTGCTGAATCCACTTTCTTGTTCTGAATCATGAACCAAATTGGAAATATATTAAATTTCTAAAATTTTGAAAAAATAAAAATTTGCAATGTGAGAAGTAGCTCACATTGCTCCATGCTTTCAGAAATGTTTGAATTGGTTTCAGCAGCAATTGAAAATGGCTCTGACAGAGCCAGTTCTTCATTTGTTTCCCACAAGGAGTGGCAAGCAACTCGGACACACTGTCCTTGTTGGGAGGGAGCCAAATGTTCCATGTCAAATTTCTGCCCCTTTCACTTACCCTCTTGGTAGAAGGCACCTGAGGTCAGGATGCTGAAGGAGTGGCCTTGAGTCCAGGCCCTGCCACCTACTGCCCATGGAATCATGGGCTTGGAAGGCAGTGAAGGACTTCCTGAATGTAAGTTAGTATTAGCCGCATGATCCCCATCCCAGGAGTTATCCCAAAGGAGCATAAGTTATATTTTTATTTCCTGAGATCACAAGTATCATGAATAATGACTTTATTTGCACCATTTCTCATATTTTGACCCTAACTGAACATGGATCATGGATGCTTTTTAAATGAACATGCCGAAATTCACTTCAAGCACTCCAGTGTGTCTGATTATGGCTACTACTAGTAGTTTATATATAGGCAGTGCTTAACAGTTGAAAAGCTCTTACACACTCCTGTATTCTGAGCTCACAACACTCTTGTGCAGTTGGGGACGGGGTGTGGGAGGATATAATTTCGCCCACTCTGGTGTGTGAGGAAATTGACTTAGAGATGGGTCCAATGCCCAAGCTCATACAATCCAAGTGAGAATCAGACCCTGGTCTCCAGGTACTCATTCACTAACTTCACCTCCTCTGCTGAGGAAACAGTAACCGACACACATCCTGGGACTTGGCCACAACAAAGGGGATGGCTGCCTCTGCGTGAGGTAGCGTGCTGAGCTGTGATGGTGACAGGAGGTAGTTGTGGGCAGTGGAGATCATGAGAACAGGGTTTCTTGTCATGCTCCTTCTCACAAGTCACCTGCAGTACTCCCCATTCTCAGTGGGGTGCCTTGAGAAGTTTCCCCAGGAGGGGCAGGGAATTTACACTAATCAGCCATCAGAGCCCCTTGGTAGCATTAATCCTTTACCCATTCACAGTTTATAAACCTCTTTCATGCATACTATCCTTTTATGTTCCTCACAGCAATGCTGAGATTTGGAAAGACAGGACCATTACACCCATTTTTAGAAATAAGGGAAGGGGCAGCACAGAGAAAATGTTAGTTGATTCTTAAAGCATACTGGGCAGTGGGAATTCCTTTAACCTCTGAGAAACCAAGATGGAGATACTTGAAAAGAAAGAACTGGGTCTTCTTCCTATCGCAGTATGTCGGGATTGAAGTTGGATTGCTGCAAGTTCCTTCAGTTCCTCCCACTTCTGAGCTGGTATGTGTGGTTTGCAATTCTATCTAGCCAGGTTATGTAGAGAGGTTTATCTTCCTTCCCTTCTGTATTTTTTTGGCCCTGGGAATTCTAAGCTGCTGAGTCTTCCATATAGTTCTGTGATTCTGTGTGAGTGGAGTGGAGGTGTTTCTTGGGTACCTGCTGTAGCTGATGAAAACACCCTAAAAAATGCAACGTTCTGCATGGAAATGGGTCTTGTAAGGGGTGTGACTATGTAGCTCTGGTACCATCCAGTCTACGGTTCCAGCAGAAATGCCGAGTCCATTGGTAGCGCTGAGTTTGCAGACTCTCCTTCCATCCATTGTTTCTGATGGTGTCCTAGCAGCTGCCACTGGTGCGGCCCTTGATTTTTGCTTTTGGAAACTGATAGGAAGAAGGCTTGGGGTGGTAAAAAAAATCTGGTGTGAGTCAAGCCCGGTCTGCCACCACCATCCTGGGGGACCTTTTAGTTAGGTCCAAGCACCTCATGTGGACTTGGCCATAGGCAAGCCAAGGACCCTGAGCCTGGGGAGGAGTGACAGTGTGCAGGGGGGCAGGGGGGCATAAAACCTATAACTGTGGACACTGAAAGAGGTCCAATTTATGGTTTTCTCCACATGAAGAATTGTACTCTGACCTCCTCTTCACTTTAGGACTGAAGGGACTTGTAGGAATGGTTCTGAGGTTGTTCTGCACCTGGGCTGGTGGACCTAGGACTAGGTCTCTGATTTCCCAAAATACTGTTCAGTGGGTTTTTGCTTTCCATCCCTTTCACTATCCCCAGCTGTTTGTCTTTGGATCTTCCATTAGAGTTACAGCTTAACAGCTCTGGAAAGGAGATATTTTTGGTACAAATCAGTTACCTTACAAATAAAGATGGTAAAGCCCAGAGAGGGGAAATGACTTGTCTGGGGTCACACAGCTAATCAGTACCAAAGTCATAATAAGAACAGCTCTTGGTCTGGTACTGTTCCCTCTGCCCCATGCTGTTAATCATCATTATTTTTTTTTTCTCCAGAAAGACAGTGAGGATTATATAGGGAAAGAACTCCCCAGCATGGGCTTTAGAGTCAAAACTGACATTAGTTTGAAACCTATACTCACCACTGATCAATTGTGGTTTGTTGGGCAAGTTATTAATTTCTCTGAGCCTCAACTCAGAGACTGGGAATGACCATAGTGCCAAAGTTAAAAGAGTAGAACCAAGATTAAGTAGAATAATTCTTAATCTTCTCAGCTCACAATAGGTGATGAATATGTTTTAATTCCCTTATTCACTATTCCAATTATGCCTCTAAAAAAGGACAGAAGTCTCTGGTTAGTAGTCTGATTCCTTAGGAGGACATTATTCCTAAAAACTCTCAATCATTTAATGCAGTGAAATTTAAGTGAGCACCCATTAATTATAGGGAACTGCTCTGGACAATGATATGAAGATACTTCTAGGGTGATTGAAACATGGACCCAGCCCTCGAGAAATTTACTATGTAATGGCCTTTATACGTGCAATTTTCAATTGCAAACTTAAAATCTCAGCTTTGTTTCCCTAACATGATTTTACAGGGCCCCACTCTTCCTTTTAGTTGATATGTGGCTTTTGAAACATAAATTATATAATTTTAATATTAACTTAAGCAAAACATCATTAAAAAGGCAAACCTGCCACTAAAATTGAGACTGCTGTTTCACATGCTAATTCATTATAGACTTGGGAGTATAACCCTGTTCTAGCCACCAGGACATGGCTAAGGGATTATAGCACTGTCGCCCACTAAGACCAGGCCTTGCCTCAGAATCCTTTTCAGTATGGCTGCAGATGAGATTTGGCATTCAAGCTGAAATCTGTTTGCCATGACTGATCTACCCAGGGCTTTGAATCGTTCACACCCAAGCTCATTTAAGACACTTTGGAGATGATTTAGTCTATATGTTACCTCCCATTCTGATTTCATGGCTGAGAAAAATGAGCATCATGCAGGGAAAATGTCCAGTTTCCAAATCATTCAACCTGTTAATGGTAGAACATGGACTTGAACCCAAGGGAATGTACACTGTGGTCTCTCTGGGGTACAGTTAGCAGATAACAGTTCCTGGCCACTCTTGCCACCACCACTGTCGTTCATGCTGCCTCTCTAGCTGTAGCCTCAGGTGCTGGGCCCAATGCTTACCATGCATCTCCACCCCACTTGCTTCCCTAACTACCAGCTGGAGACATTTCACAAAGCAGCAATGAAGCAGACATCAGGATGGACTCTTTTTCTGTCCCCCTTTCCCCTGTACTCTTTTTCTAAAGAAAACATCACCATACATACACATATGTAATTTTAGCCTTTTATGGTTTGAAAATAACACACTCTAGAGGTGGTATTTCCTGTGCTTTGCGTCATACTGCCAGCAGGAAGTCATTGCCCATGTGCGTCTGTACATCACCAGCACCATGCTCCCCACCCCATGCATACACAACCACATCTACAGTGATGGGCTGTCTCACAGCAGATACCATCTCAACCGCGACCACATCTTTTGATTCTGAGCTGCTTCCTTAAGACCTAGTTTCTTTAAATGAAGGCAGTTGTCATTGAAGAACTGCTTTCCAGGACCTCTAGTGATGTCTTCTGTCAACGCAAAGGGGAAAGGAACCAACGTTTGTCAAGGAACTTCATTGTACATAGAGAGAGCTTCACATATATTTCTCCCCTTCATTTGCATAATGGTGTAGCTGAACCCACTCAGCAATGAGGAAAGTGGGTGGAAGGGGTTAAGTGTTCTGCAAGGCTGAAGCCTTGCATATCAAACTACAAAGGCTGTGCTTGCCACATGCTGTGCTATCTCTCAGCAGATTGTGGGGATCTATGATGTGTCCATGACACAGGGACACAGGACACACATTGTTTCTCACTTTCCACTGTAAGGAACATTTGCAATTTATTTCATTTTCACATGTGTTGGTTTCCAGATTCTCTATCAAAGGCTGAATTCCTTCGCAGAAGAGTGAAGTGTGATAGCCATCGTAGACACCCAAATCAAGTTTGGCTCTCAGAGGCAGAATGGGGTAGTGGGAAGAGCATTGGCCAGGAGTCAGGCTGGCTTCCGGTCCCAGTTCTATGCGACCTTGGGCAAACCTCTTAACTTCTCTGGACCGCATTTGTTTCATCTATAAAGTGAGGCCATTTTTTAACTGTCTAAGGTCTCTTCCAGCTCTCACATTCAAAATAAACAAGTAAGGGTACATTCAAATCACATAGTCTAACCATCTATACTCAGGAGTTAAAAAAAAAAAGCAAAAAAAGAAAAGCTGGGGAATGGACCAATCAGCCTCTCTGGTCAAGCTGCTGATTCTTATACCCAGGTGACCAGATAATATCAAGCAGGCCCTGGCTGTGATGTTAGGACTTTGTCTGATAATGATGAATAGCAGGAAGCTGGGGTGTGCTCTGTAATTACAAGGAGAAAAAGGGAATAGGCTGAAGGGAAAGTGTCGAGGACAGGCTGGAGGGTATCTGTGCTCTGCTGGCTTTCCTCCGTAAGCACTCACACTCTCTGCACCACAGGAGTTGACATTGGCAGTTAGGGCTGTAGGCTGATTTCTTATGCACAATTCCAAGCATATGTCTGGCATATGACAAGGGATTAATGAATGAGTGAATGAACAAATGAGCAGGTATGGCCTTTAATATACAGAGGAGGAAAGATGGCCATCTTGCGCAATTGACTAAATTCTTCATACATCCTGGTGAAATTGTAAGGATTAAATGAGACGATGCATGTTTAGTGCCAAGCATACATACATACAATGCTTTTTATGTATTAATATTAGCGGAAGGAATACGGGAATGGCCAGCACATTCTGCCTGGAGGGCAGCAGGAAAGGTCCTCTCCGTGCTGAGTGCTCGTCTCCTGTCTTCACGCCTGCCCACCAGCCCGTGGGTGTTTATTTAGCATCTTCTGTATCCTCAGCTCTCTGCTGAGCACAACCAGCATGTGTGGAGAGGATGGTAGCGCATAAAAAGTGAGTCCCAAGAAATCTACCCTTTTTCTACTTCAACTAAATGATACAATGATTAGAGAACCAAATGCTAATTTAATTGGTATGATTAGAGTTCAGAAAAAATGAAAGATCAACGTGGGCTGGTAGAGAAGATTTTAACAGTGCCACCTACGTAGTGGTTTTTTTTGTTTCGTTTTGTTTTAATGATCTACATCTTTACAATACTTGGGTTTTGATGTCACATGTATGAAGTCATCTATAAAATATTTCAAGTGACTAAGATAAAGGAATTGATTGAATCTAGCAGTGATTATCATGTTAGGATATACATAGTAGCACGTATTGAGTTTGAAGGAATTTTCTATCCTTCTGCCACTTAAAAGAAGTGAACCAGAAACCTACCCTTAATTCCTTACTCTAATGGCTCTCGCCTTGTCCAAGGACCATGCGTTTCAGTGAGCCCGACTCCCCTTGTGCCCTGAATGCTTAGCGTGTGTAGAGGGTTTTAGGCAGGAGCAGATCAAGAATTGCACAAGGGACCTGTACAAAATTCCTTTCAGTTGAACAACAGAAATAAGTAAATAAATCTCATGAGAAGAAATTGAGAGTTGTTATGCTCTGAGTGTTTGTGGTTTCTTTCAAAAAGATGATGACTGATGCCATATTTCATCATGTTTTTTCCTATTCTGCTGAAAGATGAGATATCCTGCCTCGTCAGCAGAAGGCACTGCCATTGTGACAGAGTGTGGTTCCCTCCACCCCAGCAGTGATAGGACCCCACTTATCTCTTGCCTGACTCACACTGGGGTGGTTGCTGAGCACTTATTTGTTCATTGATTTATTCACTCAACAAACAGTCTTGGGGTATCAGCTTTGTGCCAGGTTCTGTACTAGGTGCTGGTATTATAAAGGTGATTAAGATGTAGTCCTCACCTTCAAGGAGTTTGCAGAGTTGACAGCTCAGTGGATGAGACAGATGTGCAAATAGACCATTGGAATACGGTGTGGTAGGTGCTGTCATGGAGGTGCTGTGGGAGCACGGAGAATGGCAAGCTGAATTGTGCCCTCAGGAATTGGGGAAGGCTTCCCCAGCTGGATGGTCTGTGAGCCGCCAGGTCGGCAGGACAAGGAGAAACATGCAGGACAGAGAAGGAGGAAAAGGCATCCTGAGGGAATTCACATTTATTGACCTCTTACCAAGACCAAGGTACTGTTAGTTACTTTCAGATAAACACTTCTTTTACTCCTCCCAGAAATCTTGCAGAGGAGGTCTTATTTTCCCCTATCTTTACAATCAAGGAGACTGAGGTTTCCTTACCCTGCCCAAGGTCACATCTGAGAAGGGTCAGAACTGGGATTTGGACCTAATTTGGGGAGACTTCAAAGCCCATAGTCTTTCTGCCACACTTTCCTGCTTCTAATGTTTATAGAGGTCATGAAAGAATAGTTTGGAAAACAGTAAGAAGTCTAGTGTGCTGGCAAGTCAGGGTATGGGGGTAAGAGCTGGAAAATGAATCTGGAAAGGTCTCCTGAAGCCAGCTGGTCAGGGGCCCCATTTGAGAGTCCTTCACTCCACAAGCACTGTTGTCCAGACACCAAACAAAGAGGTATTGAGTTCAGGCCCCGCTCCTAGGGAGAGCTGGAAGAACTTCTCTCTTCTGGAATTGAATTTAAACTTGGTCCTTTAGGGAGGAGAAAGCAAAAGCTCCACTAGCAGCCCAGGAGGGTTGTTTGCTCTGCTGAAAACTTAGGCAAAGGGAGACGATTAGAAATGTTTAATAAGAACCACAACCTCACTGGTGATGCAGAACCATGAAGTGAGACACTGTCCCTGCCAGGATTTGGTGATGGGCTGTCATGACAGTGAGTGTCCAAGGGTTGTGACTGGGCATGTTTGGGATAGGGTCACTTCCTCCTAGGTTATTGGGAGTGGAGAGGAAGTTCCACAAGAGAGGTGGACTCTGGTTGAAAAGACCCTCTCTAGGCACACTGGGGAGAGAGGAAACAGCCTTGCCAGAACCAGGATGATGGCACCTCCTGCTTCTCTCACTCCCAGATATGTCTGTGTGCAGCCCGCATGCACAGCCCTGCCGCCACCTTGGTACGGCCACCATACATACCCTCCAGTTAAAATGCGTAGATTTGCTACGTTAGGACATGTGCATATTAGCTTGAATGACAATCATAAAACCCTCTTGGATTCATGTAGCACGTAGTCTTCCAAGAGTTCAAAGTGCCCTGAAGGCTTTTATTCCACTTTATTTTAAGTATATCTCTATGAATAGGAAAAGATAGATTTTTTGGGCCTCATTTTTCTGAGATGGATAGAGAGATACAGAGGTTAAAAGACTTGTGAATCAGGACAGTGTTTTTCCAGCCACTGTAAATTAGGGACGTTTTAAGGAGGGCAGTACTGGGTTTGCTCATTAGGTTTTAGGGTTTCAATGAGCATGAATGATCGTGGAACGCCTAGAAGCAGTATCTGCATTAAAGGAATTAGCCTCTGTCTTTGCCTCCATTCCCTACCCCACCCGCATAATTTTGATCTTTCTTGATTCCAGCTTGCCTTGTCAGTCAGTATTCATTTCCCTATAACATTAAGCCCCAGGGACATCATGCGCTGTCTCCTACAAGCTTCCAGGAAAAGTCTCTGATAAACTCATTTCACTGAAATGGAAAGGGCTGATAAGCTGATAACTACCCCACCAGTTAGTCCCTGAGTGTTTATTAGGTGCCAGGCATGTGCAGAGGGTGGCTGACATGCATAAGCTAATTTAATCTTCATAGCAACCCCATGAGGTGCGTTACTATTATTAACCCCTTTTTACAGATAAGGATACCAAGGCTTAGGGAAGCTTAATATGTCATCTTTCCCTGGGGTATTTGCATTTGAACAGTGAACACAGAAGACTGTGGCCAAAAAAAAATGAATCTGCCCTTGAGAAATTTCAAGCATCATCTGGGGATCATGGATTAAATCTTTGAATTTCTAACAAATGTTGGCCCTGGCTTCTCTGACTTGTCAGTCAAAGGGGGACATACATTTGTGAGTCATCTGGGAGGTTTATGGAGTCTTCTAAAATATTGAGAGCTTCATTTTGGCTGTGTGTTTACAAATGGCTCTATGCAGTGTCATAGTGAACTCATTTATTTACTGTGGGTTCTCAGCAAAGTAAAGCTCTTTTCCTGTTGTAGGCATTTGCCTGAAAAAGTTAAGGATGACCAGCAGCTGAAGAATATGAGTGGCCAATGGTTTTATGAAGCCAAAGCCAAAAGGCACAGAGACAAAATCCACGGCACAGATATCATCAGAGCATCCATGAGAAAGAAGAGGCTCCAGGTAGCAGGTGAGTTGATTTAGCTCGTATATCCACAGCTGGCATTTGTCTGGGAAGGAGTTGGGAGAAGGGAAGGGTGTCAGAATCATTGCTAAAATCTGCCCACGGAGATGATTTCAAGGTACACTTTGCATAATGTGTAGCTCGCCCTGTCTTTGGATGGATGAGGGTGGGACTGAGTGACTCAGTGTGGTGCAGAAGGACAAAGGAAGCCCTGTAGTTGCCGTGTTGAGTAGCAGTAGCACAGACACTCAAGGCTCATAAGGATCTGCCACCTCTTCTTTCTTTGGTTTCTAACCCGGAAGATTTCAGAAACTTTTCTCCTGAACAGGGTGAAGAGCTTAGTTGTCTGAGAGGTACAGGTAAAGAGCCCTGTGTGTTTAGAGGCAAAAGAGGCTATTCGCTAAAGAGTGAGCACAGAGATGTTGTGTGGGCCCTGGCATCTGAGCTGGGTAATGAAGAGTATGTAAAATTTGGATGTTTAGAGACTAGGAGGAGGAGGAGGCAGTAGAGAGGGACATTCCAGGTTAGAAGCGATGGTTCCCTCTTGTATCCCGGAGCCCAGCCTCAGGTCAGGCACACTGTAGATGTCCAGTAAATGCTTGGGAATGATGGTGCTTCTGACCCAGTGGGGACTCCCTTCCCTCAGCATCCCCTGGCCAGACACATTTGGTCCTGACTCCAGTTCAACTCAGATTCACTTAGAGGCAGTCAGAAATTTGCTTCACTTGTCTTTGGAGTTACTGGCACATTGAAAGGTACACCTACGCTCTCAGGAGACTCCACTTGGGGTGTGGGGGGGCAGCTAACATCAGAGCAATCTACTGACTTGTCTTGCAGATAAAATTCTGACCCTGAGTACTCAGACTCATTAGTTACTGCATTGGCACTCAGTGAAGGCCTAAAGTTCAGGTTCCAGCCTTCAGTGATAAGAGCTGATATGAGAGGTGTAGGTCACAGAGGTGAGAGATAACCTTCCTGTCTTTATTGTTTCCTATTTCAGCTGAACAGAGTAAGGACAGAGAAAGCGGGGCAAAGGAAAGCTGGGTGAATAATGTCAACAAAGATGCTTTCCTTCCCCCAGAGCTAGCCGGTGTTGTAGAAGAGCCAGAAGAAGATGTAGCTCCAGCAAGCCCAAGGTAAGACAGAGCTGCCGCACGGGGGATTCACGGCTTTGTGTGCTGCACAGGCAAAATGGCGGGTGATGAGTGCAAATGCAAGACTGGTCTTGTGGGCATGGGAAAGGGGGCAGGCATGAGAAAACTGGGCGCCCGATATAGACAAAGCCTGAGTAGTACTCTTTCCCAGCTTCCAGAATGTCTAACAAATCTGAATATTAAATAAAATTAAAATATTAAGTGGTGATATCTCCCAGCACCAACAATAGCTGTTTTTTATTGGTACCGAGGATTTTTTCCTTGCAGTAGAATGGAGAGGCACTCTAAAATGAACATAGGAGAATAAGTCATTTCAGGGAAGAGATGAATGGTGATCAAATTGTAACAGCCTGGTGCAACGGGAGAAGCTCAAGCATGGGAAGCAGACAGACATGAATTCAAATCCTGATTATGCCACTTATTAGCCATTTGACCATGGGCAAGTCACTTAACCTCTCTGTGTCTCTTTTATTAAATATGGTAATATATACCAGGAAAGGTTATGGAAAGAATGAGTGATAATGTACGTAGAATACCTGGAATTCCATAGTAGGTACTCAATAAATGCCTCTTACAGATGTAGATTATCCTCTATTTTTCAGTCTTGATTTTTTTTCTGTTTTCCATATATGTTGTCATCTGGCCAATTAAAACATACATCCTTCCTATGAAGTAGCTGATTGTACATAGTAGATGCCCATGAATGGAGGCATGGGCTCTCACATACATGTAGCTGTTTCAGGAAGCTCAGGAAAGGGTGTGAAGAATACCCTACCCTTTCTCCCTGATGACTCCCCAATTACCAGCTGCCTGCAACCCTGCTAATGGGATGAAAGCCTGCCTGCCTTCCATAGGGAAAGATGAGACCTTAAACAATAGACACTCCAGGACTGAGAACACAGTCATTTAGATTTACCACCAAGGAGCTGAGAGCAGCTCCTAAGAGCCACGTTTGATGGCGATGGAATGGGGACACCAAAGCACTCACTAAGGGAAGAGGGCACACGTCCCTCAGAGGAGAAAGAAGATTTAAGGGGTTACAGAGTCAAACTTAGCGCACTGCAGTTTCATCTGGGTCAGACTTCTGTCCTTCTCCCAGGAATTTATTTCTTCTCAAAGGGCCTGAGGGACAGATGTGCCACTGCCCCAATAGCCTGACTCATTTTCTTCATGACCCCATGTGGGCTGGTGGGTCTTACCCCACCTCTTCCTCAATTTGAGGCTATTGAGTTTCCACAGTTTGTGTCTCCATTGTTTTCTACATTCCTTGTGTGACCTTAGAGAGTCTTTCTGGTCTCGTTTGTACACCAGAACAGAGCTGCCTCACCAGGATGTTGTGAGAGTAAATGAAATGAGGCGTGCGAACCACTTAGCATTGCTCAGGAGGAAAGAAAATTTGCGATTTCCAGGTGGGATTATAATTATGTTATTATAACATAGATGAGATAAGGTCAGGAAGGCAAGAATAAAGATGTTAGCTGTACCCAGCATGCTTTGCTCCTTACATGGGGTGGGTGGTAATCATCCAGAAATGGATATGGAGCTGTTGTTTACTTCCTATTTTCCATGTCAGGGGCCACTGTATCATTCAGTATCAGGTTCCTGCAGTGTTTTTCACCTATGCTCTAACCTTTGGGAACTGGGTGTGTTAAGTGTATTTTGGGGCCTTTACTTTTAGACCAAGTGAAGCTCAATAGAATGACTCAATACCTGTCAATATTGTCTTAGCCAGGAGTCAGGGAGTGTGAGGCAACAGTCACTAGATACTGCAGTTTCTGAAGGAGTTTTTCTAATGGGCTCTGTGGCAAGATTCCTTCTGTCTGTTGTGGGCACAGTTCTTTTGGGGGTTCTGCCAGTGAAGTATAAAAACTGTGGGCCGTGAACACATACCTGAGCACTGGATGCTACCTGTGTTCTTTTGGATCTCATCTTTGTTTGAACCTGTCACACCAGGAAGCAGAGAGAGGCTTGAGGAACAGAGGAGCAGAGAATGAGGTTCCTTTTAGAGTGCAAAAGGAAAACGCCAAACGCTCACAGTTTGAGCTGTGGTTACAGCCCGTCAGCAGGGCAGCATTGGCACACACTGTGATAAGGGCCAGTGCTTTAGTCCTTAAAAAAATTCTGTTTTGTGTTTCTAATTATCACCAATTAGTGCCTTTTTTAACATCTAATAAAAATGAATACTGGAAAAATGAAATACAGAAAACAACAAAGGCATGTAAAGTACAAGCCCACTGATGATGTGCTGGGATGTCTCAGCAACTTCTAAATGAATACTCTCGATTTCTGTACTTGTCTCATTGTGAGCCTGTAACAAGCAGTTCACGACTGGTACAGGTCCATGAACCATACCTTGATAGCACATCATGTCCCTCCCAAAATAATTGTAGAACACGTACGTGGTAATCTGCAGGACATGACTGAGCCAAGGTGGGGAATGCCGAGTAAAAAACCTGAGACGCCCTTCCCCAATGGTCAAGACCCTGCCCTAAACGAGGTGTAATGCGTCCTGGTTATAGAGGTAGGCCTGCTCTGGGATGAGAAGCCCCTCCTTGTTACTTATGCTGACACGTTCTGTAAAACAAGTTTGGGGCACCAGGAAACACTGAGAGCCTGGTAGCCTCTCTACTGACCAGGGCCTCAGATGTCCCTGCCGTTGGTGCTTCTTTAGTCTGAAGGAGCCTGGAAGTAGACTAACCTTTTAGTAACTTTCTCTCTAATCTCTTCCTTTAAGACCACTTCTCTGAGGACTGGTCCTCCTGGTAGCTTATATTGTCTTAGCTCTGTGGCTGCAGACGAGGCTAGCCCAGGCTTCTTAAACAAAACAAAACAAAACAAAACAAACAAAAAATAGATAGTTTTCCAGTGTATTTCAAGCTTCCAAGTTCTTTCCCCTTCTGGATCCTCCTCCCACATCCTTCCTTATCCCACATCCCCCAGTTGCCTGGTGGTCTCCTCCTTTCTCCTTTGAAGGGATCTAACATCCATTCCACTCCAAGGAACATTTGACTTGTCAATCACGTAAGCCTGTCTGGATGGAAGTTCTGAGCTTCTTTAGAAATGAGCCAATCTGTGGACAGTGCATTTGATCTTTTGTCCTTGGATTGATTGCAATCCAGTGATGTGACCGTATCATTTCTTGGAGGCCTGCACCACAGAGTCACTTATATTGAGCTCTTACAAGAATCTTACTTAATCCTATAGGGTCTTGGATTTACCCAGATCAGTTGTGGCAGGAATAGTTTCACTATGACATCAGAGTGTCTTACGCTTGGATGAGAATATTGGTGTTACATAACTCTGTAGTATCAAGTGTGGGAGCACCAGAGAAGTAATATTTTACTAAAAAATATATATATATACTGACTTGAAAGCTTGGCACAGCGTATTTTCTAATTTCCTTCCTGCGCATTATCTCTGAGCCATTTTGTCATTTGTTTATTCATGTGTTCAAGCTTCATTGAGGGTGACATGTGTTTTCACAGTGCTGGGTGCTGGGGATGAGATGCAGCATTACCTTTCAAGGGCTCGCTGTCCAAAGAGAGAGCGCAACAACAACAAAAGACACAGGAAAAACATCTCTTGTAGAATTTGCTTCTGATTCTATTAGGTTGTCGGAAAAGTCATGATGTATTTTTTCTATGTTTTTCGTTGCATTAATGCGTTAACATTTAAGCTGGAAAATAACTCAGAGGAAGGTATATGATGTCTGTTGTTATTTTTAACTATTTTAGAAAGAAAGGCCAGTTAAGATTCAAAAGCTCATTTTTTTTAAAGACTTTATTGTGGGATTGGGGAAGGGAACAGCGTTGGGGAATTGGGGAAGGGGAACATTGCATTTTTCCAGGACCCATCAGCTCCAAGTCAAGTTGTTGTCCTACAGTCTTAGTTGTGGAGGGCGCAAGCTCAACTCCAAGTCCAGTCTCCATTTACAATCTAGTTGCGGGACAGGGGGTGGGGGAGGGTGCACAGCCCACCATACCATGTGGCAGTTGAACTGGCAACCTTGTTGTTCAGAACACGCGCGCTAACCAACTGAGCCATCTGGCCGCCTGTGGGCAGCTCGCGGCTGCTCTGCTCAAGGTGCTGTGTTCAATCTTAGTTGCAGGAGAGTTGGGGGGGAATGCAGCCCACCATCCCATGTGGGAGTCGAACCCACAACGTTGTTAAGAGCACGCGTTCTTACCAGCTGGGCCATCCAGCTGCTGGTTGGCAGCTCAGCATCAGCTCAGCTCAGGTGTAGCACACTGGCCAATGTGGGGATCGAACCAGTAATCCTGTTGCTCAGAGCTCACACTCTAACCAACTGAGCCACCTGGCCAGCCCCAAAAGCTTTATAAAGTTTGAAAGTTGGAGCACTTTATGGCTGGACATAGAAGCAGATGGAGTATCCAGCTGCCTGTGATTTTAAGATGGGTGCAAAGCCCTCCCTGTTCCCCAAGAGTCCCTGCCACAGTACTAACATTCTTCTTCTTTTTTTTTTTTTAAGTCTTCAAAGAGTTGCATTAAAATGCAGACACTTTTAGGAGGGAAATCCTAATGCCAATATCGTAGTCTAACATTTTAATAATTCTCTTAATGAAATAAACAAATTTTGTCTAAGTGTTCTTTTCTAGTATTGTAATAGTTTTTAAAGAGTGCCTGAGGGAAGAAATTACAGAACACAGGGCATGGAATTTAGCTTCATGTATGGTTTGAAAAGCTCATCTTGTGGAAGGTATTGACTATCCTTTATATGCAGGACAGAGTTTACTGCCCTCTGAGAGGGATTCTAAGATACGAAAGGCACAGTATCTGGCTATAAAGGGACTATAGTCTCTTAGGAAAAATGATGCATCTACATAAGAATATCTGATCACATGATAACAAATAGTACCAAGCAGGGAGCAAATTCTTAATCCAAAATACCAATAAAATGTGCTGGAGGATTTGAGACAAGGAGACCCACTGCCAGCTGGGCTGACATGAGCAGCATCACAAAGGAGGTGAGACTTGGACTGGGCCTGGAGATGAAAGCAAAGATTTGGGCAAAGAGAACACAGCAAACACTTGAGGGAGAAACTGGGGGATAGGTTGAGTGGAGACAGCAGAGAGGTGAGTTTTGGGGACAGTGAGTAGATAGACCACTTCATTTGGCATGAAGGGTCAACAGAAAGGAGGAGTGGGAAAGTATATTGGGATGGATGGTGAACCAATCTCCAATTCCTTCCTGAGGAGTTCAGACTTCCTTCCACAGGCCTTGAGGATCCAGGGAAATGTATCGAGCAGAAGAGGGGCAGAATCAACTGGTGGCGTTTGAGACCATTCCAGCTTACGGGTGGAATGCTGAATAGTCTAGGGGAGTAGAACTCGGGAGTCAGGAGGTCAGAGGTGAGGTGAATACAGTTGACAGATATAAAGGAGGTACCGGCACAGGTGGAAAGGAAGTGACAGATGTAAGAGCACTGGGCAAGAAGAATAACCTGGACTTCACTCCTCTGGCCATAAACCCCCACTTTAGTAATGGGAGAAATCAGAGGCAGTGTAGCCTAGCCACTGTGATGATGCTCTTTGGAGTCAGGGTCAGACACACTTGGTTTAAACCCCCAGCTCTTTCACTAATTTTGTGACATAGAGCAGATTACTTAACCTCTCCAAGCCTCAGTTTTCTCACACATGGAATGGGGAGAAGGATATATCCCTCATAGTGATGTTGCAAAGATCAATTGAGAATAAGATGGTTACTGTAGTGATGGTAGTAAAAGACAGGCAAGCAAAACATTGCTGTATTCCTCAAGACAAGCAAAGCAGAGCTTAATCTAGGAAGTAGCCGTATTTTCAAAGACAGAGTTTGAGGCATAAGACTCTTGTTTTCATTTTTGTTTTCTAGTTAAGCAGGCTTGTGAACTATAGCTAGCCAGGTATCCCACCCTCATCCCATTTGCCCCGATCCCAATCACAAGGTAACCCAGTGAGCACTGCGTGTTTCCTGTATTTTAGTGTCTGACCATGTGTTCTGAATGCCTCACTCCTTCCTCTCTTGCTTTCTGAATAGCAGGAACAAAGATGTTTTGTTTGAAACCTAAATAATGTGCCTCATTGGAGTGTGACAAATAACTTGGATTTAAAAAAACAAAACACGGTCAGCCGTCTGCTGTTGCCTTCCCTGCCACTCGCTCAGTTGGCTGTCACTTGTTCAGTCACTCACCAGTTGTGTCCCAGGCATGGTACAAGGCATTGTGGGGGATTTAAAGATGGTCAAGATACTCTTGAGGGATCCCCCAGGTTACTATGAGAGATAAGATATGTATTCACAGAATGAGGTTTCAGAGTAGACGTGAAATACCTAGCTACATAGACTTCAGTGAGAGACTGGTTTTATCTCTGGGAAGGAGGGGACAGCATGATGTGTAATATGGGCAGTCAGGACTGGGGCCTGGAGTCACAGGAACTGGATTTCCAGGGAGCAGAGAGAGGGGAATGGAGACTCTGCTTATCCTTTGTTCTCGGTGAGTGGGAAGGGGAAAGGAGGAAGATGGCAGGAAAAGATAAGTGTTCCTTGGAGACACCCGACCATCAGCACTTGGCTCAGGTCCTCTGATTATTGCATGACTATTTTATTTTATTATTTATTTATTTATTTATTTTTTTAAGATTTTTATTGGGGAATTGGGGGGATGGGAACAGTGCTGGGGAATTGGGGAAAGGGGAACAAACAAGTTGCTGTCGTTTTTGTTCTTCAATCTAGTTGTGGAGGACGTTGCTTCACTGGCCCAAGTTGGCACCATCATTGCACTCTTCCCGGGCAAGGCAGATCAGTCGCCGGCTTCTGGACGGCCGCTCACTGCGGCTGCTGGCCGCTCACGCTGGCTGCTGCCCACACACGGTAGCCCATGGCAATGCACTGCCACAGGGACTGCAGCCCATGCCGTCGCCGGCGACTCATGGCAGCCCAGCTCCAGGTTGAGCTGTTGTTCAGCATCTTAGCTGTGGAGGGCAGTGTCACTGGCCCTCACATGTGGGATCCGAACCGGGGCCCTCTGGCATCCCAAGCGAGTTCTCAACCATCGCGCCACTCGGCCGGCCCATGACTATTTTATTTACTAAGGAAGATGATACAAAACATTCTGAGAAACTGAGCATAGCATGTGCTATAAGGTTCCTCACATCACCCCCTGGCTTCTTAAAATGACACTCAAGAGAAATTGCTTTCTAGCCCTGAGCTATTAGCTTTTTTTTTTTATTATTATTGTATGGACACTCTGCATTCTATCAGTGACCACATTTCTTTTTTCCCATTGGCTGCTAGATAACTTGATTTAAATTTGTGCCCAGCTGTTGCAAGAATAGCTTTCTATAATGTCTTTTTTCTATTAGCCTTAATTCCGGCTCCATTATAAATTACTTCTTCCCTTCCTTTCCCCTCACCATCCTTTTTTTTTCCTGTCTTTCTCACTTCTATGTGATCAGACCATATATTATTATATATACATCTGCCTCATTTGCTGTAATTCCTCTCTGGAACAATGAGAAGGGTAACCAAAGGAAGAATGGCTTCCTCAAAACATCAGCCTATTCCTGGGACTGCCTGTACAAAAATAACTAAGGGCAGAGGTAAAGAAAGGAAACGAAGCTGCAGGAATACCTGGCCCACGCTTTTCACAACAGTAATCTCGAGCAAGGCTTTGTGGCCCTGGGGCAAACTACTCCCCCTCCCCCCCCCAACCTCCAGTTCCTTTGCTGCATGGTGGAAAGCCAGCATCCTCCCAGGAATTTTCCAAGTCTTGACTGTGATGCCACTAAGAGAACTGGTGGAATTTAACCAGGCGCTGTGGTTTCAGCCAATAATGACTTCACCTTTTATGCCTGAGGCAAGGCCATTGGAGCAGGAAGTCTGAGCAGGTTTTTTTTTCTCCCCTTCTAGGGCCACTATACTCAATAGCCCTTCTTACTCAATAGCCAAGGGGGTGGTTGTTTAGGAGGAAGCCTGTTCAACTCACTTCAACTCGTTCTTGGCTTACTCTTACCCTGGGGCTGTCCTGTGCCTCAGGTAGGTAATCATGGGCTAGGAGATCTTCCTTACTTCGCTAAGCCAACTCCAGGCTTCTAACCTCCTACCATCTTCCGGATGCTGTGCTTGTCCTTATCCCTCTTGTATTTGAACAAGAACTCACCTGGCCAGCCTGGAGAGTTGGGTTGAAAGTTCTCAGTAAGTTGCCCAAACCCACCAGCCTCTGTGCACAGCATCTCTCAGACCTATTGTTATTTCTGTTCCTTTGCCGAGTCACGTGTCTCACCTGAGTCTTCTTTTTCATTATTTGCTACCTGACAGCACTGCCATTCTGGCCCTGGCCTATGGAATGAGGCCCCAAAACTCTGCGGAGCTTCATTTCAGCAATGATGTTTCCTCCTTGAGATCATTTGCTCACTTTCATTGGCATCTGATGTGAGCTTCTGACTTTGAGACAAGTTCATTTCTACAAATTTAACTTGTGAACCTCCTGTGTGCCTGGTACTGTGATATAAACTTCAGGAATGCTGATGGATTGTTTTGTCTTGTCTCATGCCTGTCTTTCATTTCTGTTTTGCCATTTCTTTCACTTCACTGCTTAATCATCTCTAGGCCCAGCTCCCTCTCCCTTCCTGGCAGTTCGACCCTCTCCTCGCCTATCCTGCCTTAAGAGCTTTTGGCTTCAGAGACATGATTTATGCTTCCTCACAGAGCGAGGTTTTAGTCTTTGAATGAGTGTTTCTTTTGCAGTTCCGGCGTGGTACATCCAGCTTCCTCCGTGATTGATATGTCCCAGGAAAACTCAAGGAAGTCAGCCGTGTCTCCAGCTAAGGTAGACTGAGCTCAGACTTCGAAAATCTCATTTTTGTCAGCATGCCATTTTTCTTGTTTTATCAAAGCACCATGAAATAAAGAGGATTTTGTAGTACTGTTCTGGTACCAAAACCAGATCATTTTTACCATTTAATATATGATGCCACTCCTGTAGAGGGAAGATTGATGAATGCCTGTTACTGGTATATCATGCTGTAGACCCAAGTTTATTGCCCTATATAAAGAATAAAATGTCTGAAGTCTATTGGGGGCTGCTTCATTTAAGTAAATGGAATGTGGCTTGTTAGTTCTGTGTCAGTCCTTATTCCTATTTGTAGCTTCCTGACTCTGTGCATGGTCTACCTGGGGGAAGGAATTGCCAACTTATGAAACTATAGACAGTAAACATTGATATTCAGTCTTATAGTAATAAAAACATTTCTATTTACTGGTACCCTTTCTTCATTAGAATTGATAATCATTATAGTGACTACGAAGTACTTAAGATACCTTGTTAAGTGCTTTTTAAATCTTTATAGAAAAGGTCAATTACAATTATATTTAGTATGGCTTTAATCTAGCACAGTAAGAGTCTTGTTGGTAGAAAGAGCATTGGTGGGAATCTGCCCTGATTAGAGTCCCGGGTTTACCCTGACCTTGATAAGCTCTTTGATATATCCAGGCCTAAGTTTTCTCATCTCTATTAAATGTGAGGTATAGATTTGAAAGATTGGTTATAGGACTCTGGAATTGAGTATATTTTATACTGTTTTTTTGTTTGTTTTCTTTTTTTGGTAAAACATATATAATAATTCTATGCTAACCTGATTAACCTGATTAACTAGGACAATCATTTTTCAAACATACCAGATAGAGTTTACTGGATAAAATTATCAACTATTGGAGATAATAAGCATTTGCTGACACTGAGTTGATGTTATGACATTTAAAATGAGTTTGATAAACACTGTTTTTTCCCCAGCAAAGGAAGAATCCATTTAATAGTTCCAAGTTGCCAGAAGATGACTTATCTCAACAAACCAAAAATGAGCAGTCAAAAAATGGAAGGGCTGGTTTTTTTCAGACATCAAAAAAGGGTAAATATTATTTTTATGGACTCGATATTTTTATCTTTGTTATCTGTGGTCTAAGGGAAATTCTCAGAGTTCCTTTAACAAAAATAACTTTTAAGAGAAAGTGAAAGGTCCTGATGGCTTTCTTATTCTGCTATGCCCATTGGTTTCTTGCCTGAGGAAAGAAAGCAAAAATTTTAGAAATTGGAGGCTTATGCATTCCAGTCTTGGAGCTGATGCTTACGCAACCTTTATGCCTTGGGTTCTCCCTCAGTGAACTGGGAATTTTTCTGACCAGAGGCATTCAGTCATTTATTTAACAGCATTTATTGGATGTCTACCACGTGCAGACACAGTTCTGTTTAAAATTAAGAGTTTGCCTCGAGAGAAAAAAGCCACTTGACAACGTTATGATCCTGTAATCTGTAATTATCAGCCGAATCCCTCAGGAGTATTAGATCCAGTTTGTGACTTAATGAATTTAAATCTGCCTCTTATGGAATTTTACCATCCTTCCATACCATTAAGAGGAAATACCAAAGATCTCTTTAAAAACAACTATAAGAAAATTCCACAAGCATTAAAGATTGGACAAGAGGTAGAAAATTAACAATTGAAAGTAGAGTTTGGCACTTCCATCAGCCTGTTTTAATATTAGTGTATGTCCCCCTCTCCACTGGGTATACTTTATATAGCATTAAATATTTTACCAAAAAAAGTCACTGGAATATGTTACAAATTTTTTTTAAAACTTTCTGACAAAATTAACTTTTGTTTTAGGTATTGAGTTTTATTTTTTCAGTTGAGCTCCTTTTTCTGATTTCCACATGTGAATTTTTTAAGTAACTTTGGTGCTTTTCCTTCACTACCATGAGAAATTTTTAAAAATACATTAAAAACAATTTTTTATTGAGTATAAAATACCACAAAGTATATATGTAAAGCACAATAATCTTAAATGTACAGTTCAATGAAGTTTATGCATGAATTTTTAAAGGCTTTTTAATTAGTTCTGCACTTATACTATGTATTTTAATACTTCTGCTTAATGTAGATTAAGTTTATCGTAGGTGTTTTAAATTATAGAGTTACTCTCCATTTGATATATCACCTAATGTGTTTTCATTTTCAGGTGAATTGTCGGAGTCCAAAGAAAAGTCTTCTATCCTGGATATTTCAAGCCAAAAGTTAGAGAAACCAAAGCAGACTTTTCCAGGCCCTGGGAATGAATCCCAAATCAAAGCGCCAATCCCCAAAGCCAGGAAAATGGTCTACAAATCGCATGATTTAAAGCAAGAAGATAATCAGTCTTTTCAGAAACAGAGGACAGACTCTCTGAACGCAAGAGGGGCTCCGAGAGGGATCCTTAAGCGTAACTCCAGTTCCAGCAGCACAGACTCAGAAACTGTCCGTTTGCATCAGAACTTTGAACCCAAAAGCAAAATCGTGCCACCTGGCCTAACGATCCATGAGAGAATTTCTGAGAAGGAGCATGCTTTAGAAGATGACCCCGCCTCAAGCTCACCGGAACCATTAAAGCACGTGAGATTCTCTGCAGTGACGGATGAACTCCCGCTGAGTCCCGGGCTAAGCCATGGCCGGGAAGTGGGAGAATTCAGCGTTTTAGAATCTGACAGGTTGAAGGATGGAACACAAGATGCAGGGGACATGGATGAGTCTGGGAAGGAACCTAAGCCTTCCCAATACAGAAAGCCATTGCCTTTACATCAATCAGCCTCAGGCCCAAGTGCGGCAAAAAATGGAACACATCAGCCAACAACTTCTGGGTCTTTTCCGATGAATGGGCACCCTTCTCCCTCAGAAGTTTTAACTGCAAGACCACAGTCCATTGAGAATTCACCTACCATCAGTGAACACAAAACTAAATCATCAGAATTATCAAAGCTTGAATCAGAATTGTCCAAAAGCCCTGCTGGTAAGAGAGCTGTCACTACCAGGCTATAAGCACTGACCCGGTGAGCCTGGAATGGCCGGGTCAGCCAGCCCTGTAGAAGCGGCCTTTTGCCTCCCAGCCACTCCAGCTGGAATTCAGGCAAATGCCACTGGGGAGTGCTTATACCTCTTAATGGGTTTGGAGGCTTTCCTCAATCACCAATAGCTAAAAGAACCAGGTTAGCACAGTTTTTGGCCCATTTTGCTTTACCCTAAACATCATATCAATTATTTAAACAAATTATAATGTTTTGAGTTAAATCAAGGTGTTTATACAGAGGAAGAATTAAAGATATGCTAATACCTTTTTATAGACTAAGTATATTATTACTCTAACTCACATTTATCAATTGACATTTATCCAAACCTTTGGTTTCTCTTCTAATCTCCAGAGAACCTTCACTTTCATATGGTGAACCTTCACTTTCACTTCCCACAAAGGATGGGAAGCTAGACTTTGAGTGCTCTCTTTGAAAAAGCCTCAGACTTTTGCCTGCACAGAGCCTCTAGCCATTTGTTCTTAGCCTTTAAAAGTTTTGAAAGAACACTCTTTCAGCTGGTGTGAGTTGAAAGGCAGAGGCAATAAGAATGCTGTTTTTTCCTGCCAAATAGTTAACTAGCCCTCATTTGAAGATCCTACAACTCTCAGGGGATGCCTCAAACTGCTTTCCATACTTATACGATTACTTCATAATTCTGATGTTTTAGAAAACAAAACCATTCTGTGTACTCTCTCCCATCTTCAGTAAGTCTTCATCCAACCCTATGATTATTTCTTTCTGGTCAAGAAAAATTTTAGTAGCAACAGCCAAGTTTCTAACCCATTTGCTCTCACCTTCCCTTATTAGTCAGTATTAAGTTAAACCGAGTCACTTTTGCTCAGCTCTACAGTTTCATACTTATTCAGAGAAATCTACTTCTCAAAGTATAAAGTATTTTCACCACCCCTCCCCGCTGGACATTTAAAATCATTTGAGCAGGACAGAATATATTTTTTTAATTAAAAATTAACAGGTACTTCTTCAAGAAATGAACACATATTAAAGAAAATTATTAAAGCTGAGTGAATATTGCAAATAATTGGATGATGCTTACTGAAATGTTCATTCAAAAAATGAAAAAATTTCTTTGGTAATATTTTTCTTTATTATAACTAATAGAAAAAAAATTGGTAAACCTTCCTTGTTTTTCAAACTGCACCTACTTTACCACAGACTATCTTTGAAATTTTGTATTAACTACATATTTGTGTTTTCTGTTTTTTCCTCGCAACTGGCCATGAAATTTGGGAGGAAGGCATCATTCTCTGCACCCATTTTGATTGACAGACAGGCCATCTGGCCTCAGACTTTATAAACAAAGTTCTGCTTACTTATTAATACGCTGCTTTTTTCCTGCTTACCAAAAAAATAAAACGTAAAAAATGGAGCATAAAAAGAAAATCCGGACCACAAAAATGATAACCTCTCTGCAAATTATAAGGGTTTGACTTTAGCTTCGAACCCCAGGATAGTCAATATCATACTCATTATTGTGCTGGGGAAAACACAAAACAAAACAAAACAATTCCTTAGAGGAAACAAAATATTCCCTGGAATCAGATTTTTTTTTTTTAAGATTTTTATTGGGGAATTGGGGGATGGGAACAGTGCTGGGGAATGGGGGAAGGGGAACAGACAAGTTGCTGTCATTTTGTTCTTCAATCTAGTTGTGGAGGACATTGCTTCACTGGCCCAAGTTGGCACCATCATTGCACTCTTCCCAGGTGAGGTAGATCAGTCGCCGGCTTCTGCACGGGCAGCCACTCACTGCGGCTGCTGGCCACTCACGCTGGCTGCTGGCCGCTCACGCTGGCTGCTGGCTACACACGGTAGCCCATGGCAACCCACTGCCGCAGGGGCTGCAGCCTACACCATCGCCGGCGACTCACGGCAGCACAGCTCCAGGTTGAGCTGTTGTTCAGCATCTTATCTGTGGAGGGCAGTGTCACTGGCCCTTATATGTGGGATCCGAACCGGGGCCCTCTGGCACCCCAAGCCAGTTCTTAACCACCGCGCCAATTGGCTGGCCCAGATTTTTTAAATAACTGGGTTTTTTTTAAGTAATAAACTTCCACTGTAAAACATTTGAAAAGAAAAAAAAAATGCCGTCAAATGCACTGATAAATGATGCTATACCTCCATAGCTAAAATATATGGTAGATGGAAGCAAAATTGACTCCTCTTACCATCACTTCCAATTACTAATTTTATTATTTTTTTAAAAAAGAAAGAAATGCACACAGAATGAAACAAATATCATCTGTGATGTCATTACCCAGATTAACTATTGCTAACATTTAATTGTAGAGCTTTTCAATAACTTTCAGGCATGGATATAATTTTAAATTATGTTTATACTGCTCCAACTTCTTTTTTCAGTAACAGTATATCACAAACATTTTTCATCAATGAGTAGTTTTCTGTTAAACAGACTAACACAAAATTCCTTTTTTTTTTTTTAGCTGAGCCATCCTGCCACCGGTTGGCAGCTCAGCGGCTGCTCAGGTCGGGCCGGGAATCAAACTGCTGTTGCTCAGAGCTCAAACTCTTGAGCGAGCTCTTAACCAACTGAGCCACTCAGCCGGCCCTAACACAAAATTCTTAAAGACTTCTCAAAGAAACTTCACAATTATTGACATATATTTAATAGTGCAATGTGTAATTAAGAAAGGGAACCAGTATCCACTATGTGCCAATTATTGTTTAAGACTTTGTTGTTTTCACATTTAGCCAGAGTTAATGATTAAAATTAAAGATAGAATTTTATTAACTGATATGTCCTCTAGTGCATTTGAAACGTAGCTGACTTCATAAAAATTCAGGTCACAAAACTTTCAGGAATGTGTATTGCTTAGCTTAGCATTTATATGGAAGAGGGAGAAATGCTAAAACACCTGAGCCTTAACTGAAGGGGAAGAATATCTGAGTTCCTTATCTAAATGTACCCTGTGTGATTACGGTTCAGAAAGGACTCTGTCTACTTTCTTGATAGCTTAGAACTTAAAAATCCTTCTCTAGCCTCCTAGCCATTGGTTAGCCAACATCAGGGAACAGGTGTAGATCCCATTCTCCTTCAGTTCTCATTTTAGTTTATTTGGCTCATAGAAACTACTTCTAATGCACAAATTATAGGAGGGAAGTAGGGAATAATGAAGGAGCCTCTTGAGATCATAGTCCTAAAACTCCAGTATGCACAACAATCACTGGAATAGCTGTTAGTAAAGATTCCTGGACCCCATCTTCAGAGACTCTGGTTTAATAGATCAGGAGTAAGGCCCGGGAATGCAAATATCCTCATTGTGCCATACTAAGGCTCTGGAGGGAACTCCTTGTTGAATCTTCCTTGAAAGTTATTTTTCCAAATCCTGAAATCTCCTAAGTCTGTGTTTTTCAAACTTGATTATAAGCCCCTTCTAGGGTTTATGAGTGTGCCAGTGGATAGGTGGAATAATAAAATCAACACGGTGTATGTTTCTGGAGTGTCAATTTCATGCAAAGACTTGAGAGTGGAAAAAAATTAATATATAAAATGTAACATGGAGCACAATACAAAATTCACATGAATTTTTTAAATAAACCAGAGACTTCAAAGAAATTTCCCAATTCAGTCTAACCTCATACTTCCAGGGCTCTGCATTTAGCTTCCTTTACATAGGACATATTTGGTAGAATATCTTAATTAGAATGGTTTACATTATAACTCCTGAAAAATGCTGATATAAACAGCTAGTGTTGTGGAACATATAAAAAATACAAAGTTCTTTTTTTAAAAGATAATGTAAGTTGTTGAATAATAATTCTTTAAGTATTCTCTTTTCTTATTTAGAAAAGCATTTCTGTATTGCAGATGAACTGTCTCGTGTTGAACCTGATCGCAGTTCTAGAGACCATCAGCAAGGTAAGCCTCCTCTTCTCAAGGCCCTAAAAGCTAAGACATCATCATGCTCTGTTCCATATGCCACTGAGATAAGGAAGACAACTGATGATTCCATATCTAAAGTCCTAGACTGGTTTAACCGAAGTTCTCAGTCAGATGACAGTGAGTCATCTCTCCAACATTCCGGAAGAATAGAGTCCCAAGAAAAAACAGGCTCAAAATCACAGATCGCTACTGCCTTGGTGACAGATGACACCAGTCTAAATGAAAATGGCTCAAAAGCTGTATTATCCACTAAAGTTGAATCGACACCTGTGAGATCTGATTCAACGTTCCAGGTAGAGGGAAATATGCTGCCTTCTGGAAATTGGCAAGATAATTCAAATATCAAACCCAAATCTATTAATATGTCCCAACAAGGCAAGGGAGGTCCAGGCATATTGCATCCATTTGAAATCTACAGTCCAAATCAAGGGAGTAAAACTGTGGACTATAGGCAAGCTTCAAAAACCATAGAAGGCAATGGGGTACCTCCCCCAACCAGTAACTATTCCTATAGTGCCCTCAAAGGATCTGATGCAGCAGACCAAGTTCCTTGCAACAGTAAGAATGCTGGCAGCTTAGGTAACGAAGAGCCTAAGGTTCATGTTTATGAAAAAAATAGAGGAAACTCAGAGGTGAATTTTAACACTTCAAAAATTGTCAAAGAATCAAGTTTGAAAGACAACGTGAGGACAGAGAGAAAGAGCAAAGGAGGAGCTACTTTCATCCAGAAAGCTTCTTTGGAGCCAGAGAATATTGAGTTGCTCCCTGGGGCTGCCAGCAACAAATCTTCTTGTAAGAATCCTGGGGACCAACTACAAGAAAAAGCTAGTGAGGTTCCCAAGAACCAAGTGCAAAGAGAGAAATACAAAAGAGTAAGCGACAGAATATCATTTTGGGAAGGTGAGAAAGCTGCAGCTAAGTTAATTCATAAAGAACCCATATCTTCATATAGTCAGGGACAACCTTCTGCTAAAGCATATCAGCCTGTGAAGTTCATGGACAGTTTATCTACAGACCAGAATGAATATAACCAAGTCACTGCCAAACAAGTGGTCCTAGATGAGGATGGCCAAGCAGTCCATCTCTCCAGTTTTGATTCCTCAAATAAACATGAAGAGACCAAGGCCCAAATATTAGGTCCATTCAAAAAGAATCCTTTAGCTGACCAATCAGGTAAAGTGTCTCTGTTTCAGAATAAGATAAACGAGCCTGTAAAAAGATTGCCAGTGGCAGAGAGTTTGCATTCTGGAAGAGACATCACTTTTCCGGCACTGCAACATCCTTCAAATGTTGGGACTGAAATACATACTTCTTTGGAGAAAGACAGATCTCTAATTGTTGAATCAAATCCCAACTTTAAAGTTATGCCCCTAAAAGAAAGAATGGATGAACCCAATACAGAACAGGTCTATAATCACTCTCAATTTGAGAATTTGAGAAAGTTTTGGGACTTAGGAGCCAATCCAAACAGTCAGAATAATGTTGAGAATACTATCACAACAAGCCAAAAAAATTCAGTGCCTTTTAATAGCCAGAAACCTAAAGAATTCCATGACCTTGAATCATCAGGGAAAAGTACTGATGAAATAGAGACACTTCTGAGCCAAAAAACAGTTCCAGTAACAGAGGAAAAAGAGAAATTGAATTCCAAGTGCACACTCCAGGTGTCACCAGATGAAACCACATTTCCATGGAGACCACCCAGAAAGTCCACTCATCAGTTGCCAGGAAATGAGTCATCAAAGGAAAATGTGGAAAAGAATACTGAAAGGTTTGGTACTCCAGTTTCCAAGGAAGAAAAGGATTACTCAGACCAAGAGGTTCAAGAATCCATAGTGAAAACCAGCGTTTTGTCTAAAGACTACAAAGTTATTTTTAATGACAGCTTACAGAAGCTGCTTTCAGAAGCTTCATCGCCAGTAATCCAGCCTTCTTCTGGTGGAAAAGTTCATGGAAAGCAAGTGCTTGAACCAGGTGTTTCTGAAAATAGGACATGGCCTGGAAAGACAGATTTTGCTGATACTGATGAAGAAGCCAAAAGACGTAAGGAAATCATTAATGAACATGTCAGCAAAACAGTAGCTCCTCCAAAGGTTGAACTAAACGCCTGGGCTGCTAGTCTAGACAAACTCCTGAAGGAAGGAACTGGACCTATACCCTCTCCCTCGCAAACCAAGTTGGATTCTGTTACCACGAGGATCAGCTCTGAGCCTGAAGAGAGTGGAGCTTTTGACAAAGGGATAGAACTGAGTTGCAATTCGTCAGCTGATCAGAGAGAGAGAATAGCTCCTTTTCCAGAGGGGGAAGAAACTTTGGGAAAAACAGATCTCCCCCAGAAAGCTGAAAGTGGTGAGTGCCAGCTAAACACGGAGAACTTGTTTCAGATGGCTGCAGAAGGGTCTCACCCATTGGATCAAACTCCCTATCTTCATAGAAAGGGTTCTTTTGGGAACATGGCCAACTGTCCCCAAGATACGCCTTCCAGGGAGGGTGATCTTGCCCCCCAGGAGAAGACACTGCCTTCCCAAAGGGAAATTTCAGAGACTGTAGAAAAAGTCATTCTCCCACCCAAACCTGTATTGGATGATGTGAATGTTGTGTTACAAAAACTACTTCGAGAAGCTTGGTTGAGTTATCCAGTTGGGAGGGAAGTAGTTACTGGAGAAGTAAAAGCAGAATTTCCTGAAGGAATACAAGCGGCAGCTAATCCCAAAACTTCTTTGGGAGGTATCCCACCATCGGCCACAACAGACGTCATAGTCCCAGATAGAAAGGACTTTTATTCCCTCAATGTAGTTCCTGATAAAACTCATGAAGTTGGATCTTATTTAGCTGCCATCAAAATAGCTCCATCAGAACAAATCCTTAGCTCATCTGGTTCCACGGTTGCTCAGTGTGGCAAAAAGTTACCTCAGGAAGTGGCAGAAATTGTGAGGGAAACAATTATTCAACCTAAATCAGAACTACTTGAATTCAGTGCAGGCTTAGAAAAACTACTGAAAGAAACAATGGGAACTCCCCTTTCGAAGTATGAAAGGGACACAGGGACTCTTCCTCCATCAAAGTTAGTAGGTAGTATTCAGGTGACCAGGCAAGCTGCTTCTGAGTTCCATCCCGAGGAAATAAAAGAAACAGTAAAAAAGTCTGAAGCTCCATCAATAACTGAGAGCGCTTTTGATATGGGTTTTGAGAAACTCCTTAGAGAAATATCTGAAACTCCTTCTTATCAGCCCCAGGTGTCACTGAAGGAAGAAACTCCTGAGAATGGGAATTCACAGCCCCAGCAGGCCAGGTTCTTGGGGAGAACCCAAGAGGCCCCTGGAATGAAGCTTACGAGTCACGTTTTCAAATCTCAGGCCCACCTATGTGACAAAGTGTTGGGAGGAGAAGCTGTGACTGATTTGTCAGTGGATCTTTGTGGTTCTGAAAGTAGAGTTGAGATCCCTGGAACCCCACTTCATGTGGGCCATGAAATAGGGACCAGTGAAACCATGAAACCCCTAGAATACATAAATAGTGGAAGTGAGTGTGCACGGGCTCGAGAAGAGACTTTTAAGAAACCTGGCTTCGCAGTGGGTCTTGAAGCAATTCGTGTGTCCAGAAATAGGCAACCTAGTCCTCTCCTGACCAACAAGGAAAATCCTACAAAAACAAGTAATGTTGAGTTGTTTCTGGCATCACCATATAAGAGACAAAAGGAAGAGGAAGAAAAAGAAGGTGTCTCTGACTCTGAATTTTCAGATGGCAACATCGGCTCTAATGCAGAAAGCTGGAGAAATACCTCCAGTGAGCATTTTGAAGTTTTTAACCCATTGGTTAATGATGATGGAAGGGGCAATAGAATTTTTTAAACTGGAATTCATTTGACACTCCCAAATGGTGCTAAAGTCTTATCACTTGAGTTCCCCCTAGACTTTGTTAATAAAAAACTGCATTTCCTTTTATATTTTTTAATTAAATAAGTTACATAGAGATAGTGTTACCTACAAGGGAGTGTTTTAGAATTTTATGAATTCTCATTAACGTTCTCACTGGCACTTTATTCTCTTTATTCTGATTCTCATTCATCAACAATAGAACTTTTAGGTTTTAAAAATATTTTTTAAAAAACTTTTTGGGTTTAGAAGACATTCCTGCTAGTTTTATTCCTGGAAATAATTGGAATTTCTTTCATAATTGGCAATCCAAATAAAAGTCTCTGGCAAGATTTGTGGCAAAAAAATTGCCACAAATGGGCATAGATTTATCTTTTAGGAGAAATACCTGACCATAGTACTGGCTAAATACCAGGAATGAAGTGCCCAGCTAGAATTTTCCCTTGGATACCTAGTGCTGCAGAGTTTTTATTGCCACTCTCTCCCTCTTGTTTTCAATTATCTGCAGAATCTTCCCTCCTAGAGTCTGACTTTGGTCAGATGGCTTCACCTGATTCCACCTACGGGCATTGCCTGGCTTGCCGCATTTCTTTGGCTGCAGCCTTGACTAAATAGATGAAGATCTTAATCGATTACCATATTCCTCTAAGTAGACTTGAGGTTACTGGTTTTGGCCAGGCTTTAAAACATAGGGTTTTTGTCAGTTTGCTGCTCTGATCAACGCAGGCATTTTAGCAGAGAAATGCAGGAGCAAATAGGAATGAGAAGGTACCTGATTAGAGTGATGAAATGATAAAGGATGCTCTCTGGTGGGACATTTTAACCAAAGGCACACAATAACTAGTGTTGATCACCTTCCTAATAATTTTAATAGGATTTGTCATTTTCAAACTCCCTTTTGTCTCATTGAGAATAAATAAGTTTTCCTGACTGTAGGGTTTCTTGAAAACTGACCAAAGAATCTGTCTTTAATCCTAACTAATTAAGTTGAAGCCCTTTAACAAGTGTTGCTGGTAAGAAAAGGAAAGGGAAATACCAGTCCCTGAAACCAGACATGCAAGATGTTAAACTTGTTGAACTAGACGTTTACTAAGCTCCCCCATCGGTTACTAGGCAGACTGACTCTTAGGAGGAGGAGGTCTTGTCAATTTGCACTGACACTGGAGACTGTTGCCTACTGTACATAGCTATGTTTATAATATATCAGCCTAACTGATTGGACAGTAAAAATTCTATCTAAAAATGAAGTAATCAATTTTAAATAACCACCCAGACAGAGCCCAGAGATTTTAAAATTATAAACCAAGTTAGAGATATAAAATGGTAGTCATAGTTTTATTAGTCCTCGAACCCAAATTATTATTTTAAAACAAGTGTGTGAGGTGGGGTGACAGTAGGGAGAAGCCCAACTACAAAGGCACCATAATGTTGGTGAACAACCTAACATACTTGACTGAGCTCTACACCAACCAACACCTCAATATGCTTCTTTCAAAAGGAGCTGGAGGGGTTCCACAGTCAAATACTTTTGAAAATGCTAGGAGGTTAGACACGTGGTTAGCATATTAAAGTTTTTGAGAAGGTCAACAGTGAGGAACCTTTTAAATATGTACACAAAGCGCCCCAAATGTAATTCACCTTAGAATCCATTTGCTGTAGAATACCTATTAACAGTAAGCAGAACTGGGATGCGTTTCAGTAAAATATTATCTAGAGAAGTGGTTCCCAAATTCATTGACTCATTAATGGACTCATTCATTGGTTTCACAAACATTTCTGAAGTGCCTGTTGCCAACCACAGTTTTAGACACTGAGAATACATCAGTGATAAATGATAGTACTCAGACCAGAGTTCATCCATGATGGAGTTTCTACTGTCAAATTAGAAAAAATTAAGTACTATCTAGAGAGATTTTTTATAAGGTTAGATGTATTCAATGATCATATTCTGAGGTTATGCCCTTCCCCCACCTTTTAGTCCTAAAATGTCTCTCCTTTTATAAAGTAAAGGCATTAGTAGATGGTAGATCACAGCCACCCCTCACCCCCCATCTAAAATGCCTTAGTAAAATAAAAAGTCAGCTATCTCATGTCATTTCCCAACATTTTGATGGAAATTTTACTAGCTCATGAAACCCCAAAAGCCTACATCTGTTGATCAAGAGACTTCACCCATCTGTGTATTCGATTATACACAGATGTCAAACATCTGAATCATGCCTTCTATAGTTTTCAGCTAATTTTTTTAATGCTCCAGAAACCATTTTGTGGCTATCTTCAAAAGCTAGAAATGAAGTAGAAAGATTCAAAGTCTGGCACAGAGCAAATCGTGTGCCTAAAATAGAGGTGTAGAAGACATTAATGTGGTAATCTTCTTTCTACATGATTTATGCTTGCACATATTTCTTGACCAAGAAAATTAATTTTTTTAAAGGGCATACTATTAGTGAAGAAATTTTCTTCTGTGAAGTGCTTCATAGAGTAAATAAAACTGTACAGGCTTATGGCATAATGCTCCTTTTAACCTACATTTCAGTGTCCATTGATAATTAAGAGTTTGGTGAGGTTTTTTTTTTTTGGTTTTTTTTTTTTTTTGGTATTGTGCAGCGTTCATCGGTTTTGTCTTGTAACAGGTTCAGAAGAAGAACCCAGTCCTGTTTTGAAAACTTTGGAAAGGAGCGCTGCTAGGAAAATGCCTTCCAAAAGTCTAGAAGACATTTCATCAGATTCATCAAGTGAGAATACAGTTTGCCCCCTATTCATGCCCCATCTAAGCTTAGAAATGCTTATGTGCTCCTCTGTGGCCTCACTGCATGCTGTGATGCACTGAAACCCCTAACGGGGGGCTTAACAGATGAGAATAACCTTTCCCAAGTGAGCTAAAGAGGCTCACCCTAATGCGGCTGGAACTGTGCTTTTAAAATAATGTATGAGGTTTGGTTACTAGAACAGTAGGTTTCCTTGTATTGAAGCATCCCAGTTTGCATGTTTATTCAAGTACAGTGAGTTTTAAAAGATTATGGTAGCTAGTGATTCTAGTAGTAACAACGAACATTCATTGTGTGCTATGTGCCAAGACTTGGCTAAGCGTTTTACATGCATTGTTTCATTTATCTGGCATAAGCATCCCTGTGAGGGACAAGCTGTTATCCCCATTTTTCAGATGAGGAAAATGAAGCTCAGAGATGTAAAGAAACTTGCTTAGTATCACGCAGCAGAGCCGGGTCTCAAAATCAACAGACTATTGTCAAGAGCATTTATGAAGTCACCGTGTTATATATGACAGTGTTGGACGGCTGATGAATTTTGAATAATATGGAGATGAATTAGCCCCTGGCATCAAGGACTTTCCTTTCTCTTTTATCCCTTCTTTTCATGTATTTCTTTTGGACACTGGAACAATAAGCCCAAAGAGTACATGACATGCAACACTTGAGGCACACTGTTTCCCACTGGTTGCTGCTTTAATGGGCAAAGGATTTCTTAAGTACTAACATAAAACATAACGTATGAATATAGGGACTTGTGAGCCAGACAAATGAACTCAGCAATCATGACTTCTAGGGGTTTTGTTCTTATTGTTTTAAGCTAAGGTAACATCCCCCAGGATTGCAGATGGTCATGAGAAAAGTTATTGAGTGAAAGTTAATCACTGCCAAACTCATGATTAAAAATTAACCATTGTCATGTTTAGAATACTTTTTATGCATCTGCAATTGAGATTAAGAAGTCAGAATTTAAAAAGGAAAAGGAGAAAAAAACAACAACACTAAACAATGTCTAAAATTCAGAGATTCCCAGGGCTCCGAAGTCAGTATTCCTAATTTGGCATGCAGTCCTAACCCTGCCAAAGATCTTGGAATCTCAGGCTTGGAAGGGTCCTTGAAGGTCACCCATTCCAAACTTCCTCCAATGCAGGAATTCCCTCTAAAGCCCCCTCAACAGGTGGCCAACCCCCACATCCGCCTGAATGCTTCCAGAGAAGGAGTGTGCAATCCCTTTGTTGGACAACCTTGATTGTTCTTGGTGATGGGCCCTGAGGGGGGAAAAAAATAAACAACAACAAAAAAAACACCTCAGCAACGATTGTTCAATTTGGCAAACCTCTTGCCTGCATAGCTTGAGGCTATTTCCACGGTGCAGCTTTAAAGTCCTCAGGAATGTGTAGGGTTAAAAAAAAAATCACCATCAGCTGATGGGTATTCCTGCACGCTCCCTTCCAAATACCGATACCCACTCTCACACTAGCCTGCCAAGATTCCACTTAGCAGCTGGTCCCCAGTTACATCTCTTCAGTTGACTTCCCAAGCAAGGCTCCCAGAGGCGTACACAAATGGTGATGCATACACAGAAATATTTGTTAATGTCCATGGGTTTGGGAAGGTGTTAGTCATGGTTAGCATCTTACCCTTTTTAGAAGAATAGAGAGGCTGTTGCAGCCCGGTGCTTTCTCCTGCTGCCAGCCGATTGCTTGCTCTGAGCTAACCCTCTAACCCTTGGGAGTCCGTGTGCAGCAGTGTGCTGATGTAAGCTGCATCGGGGCTGAAATGGGAGCTTCTGCTATGGCACTGGCTCAAGTTGCTAATCTAAAGAGAAAGTATTTGGGGGAAGACATCTTGGTTGCACCCCTCACTGCATCTTGACTAATTGCTTCCAACTCCGGGGGGGTTTCAGGGACCATCGCATTGTTCTTTCTCACCAAGAGTCAGCCGTGTTAACCATTTGTTAATTTCTCCTGAACAGATCAAGCAAAAGTAGATAATCTGCCAGAAGAATTAGTACGTAGTGCTGAAGATGGTAAATATCTTTATATATTTGCATGTCTGTCTGTGTATTAGATTCTGGGGCGCTTTGGGCAGTCACGGGGATGAAGCTGGTGGATAGATAGAAACGTCATTTGCTACTGTGTGATGAATGGTGCCTAAGTTATTATAAAACGGTTCTGACTTGGTGCGTTTAATACTGTTTCTATTCTTAAGGCTTTATGCTATCATTGTGAGGATCTCATCGGAGACCCCTGGGAAGCGAGGGTTTCTATAAATAAGAAATTGTATTTCTGTGGGGAATAGCTGATTTTTGCCACTCTGACTTGCAGAACTCCCTATGAAAGCAGGAAGAGTGGAGTGGGTTCCTCGGTTAAGTTATCTATTTGATTCTCAAGTCTCAGCATTTAGATCTCTCTGGGCATACCTGGTAAAGCTTTATATTCAAAGGAAAGAGTCCCGGAACAAAAGTGAGGATCCTGCCTCTGCTCATGTAAATAACAGCATAGACCAAGGGTAAAATTAACTGATTCTGAATATTAAGGAGTCAGAAGATTTTGAAGCTTATCGGTTGATCAGCTATTACTTGAATAAGGTAACAGTGCCTTGGTGGGAGTAGGGAATGGAAATGAGTCTGATTTTTATAGTTCAGCATTCATGCAAATGTATAATTTATATTTGTAGGCTGGAATTTTGTTTTCGAAATTGCCTTCACTATAAAAATAAAAATGTATATTCACTGAGCTCTCCCACATAAAAGCAGTAACAGAGCTCTTCCAAGACCCTTCCTTACTTTTATGTAATAGTTTTGTCCTTCTTACTCTGTTTACAACAACCTCATTGAAATAGGTGGGACAGGGATTTTTACCTTCGTTTTACAGATAAGAAAAGCTCTGGGAAATTAGGTGACTCGACTAAGGTCCTGCAGCTAGTCAGTCAGTGGGAAGGTTGGGACGAGAATCTCAGCTCCATTACTCGTTGTCCAGTGCTCCTTCCGTGTTCCATGCCATGGCTTAGGGAATTGGAGGAAAGATGCAAACAGCTCCTATGCTGGACGTTGGGTTTTTAGTTGAACAGGAGCCCTAAGGAGGCTCATGAAGAGTCCTACTGGGGAATGGATCGAAGCAAGCTGAAAACCCGTCAGGTGTATTCTGGAGCCTCACTTGTGAAACTGACATTTGAGCTTTACTTTCATGTCTCTTTAATCCTTCTGTTAAAATGGTATTTATTCTCCATGTTGTTGCCCTTCTGAGTAGATCAAAAAGCAGATCAGGAACCAGATACAAATGAATGCATACCAGGAAGTGAGTAGCAGGCTCTTTTTCACAAATGACTAAATGTTGCCACCTGACATGGTGTGAAATATACTGAAATCACTAACCCCATTTAATGTAACACACCTTTCTTATTGGTACTAAACTCTTGCAGCTTACAAAACTATTTCATTCCGGCAAGGGTTGTATTAAAAACTTTTTACTACTGTCTGTGTTGAAGGATTAATTTGTGGTTCTACCGAGGGAGAGTTACATATTTAAAAAAATTATTATCTATGCATATAAATGTATTACATATATATGTTAATGCTGCATATTATCCTTTCATTAGTCTCTCTGCTCTTTGTGTCTTTGCCTAAAAGAAAGTTGGCACCTTCCAATGTCACTTGGCTTTTATGTTGCAGTGTGGTCCTGAGTATTGGATCTCTGTGGCCTTTATACGAGACTGTAGACATGAAGCAATTTATGGTTTATTTGGATCTAAGAAACAACTGTACTGTGACAATTAGTATGTAGTATGGTTGTATATGCCTCTACATGTCTAGAGAAGCAAATGTTATTATGTCCAGGGTTTAAACTCTGAGGTTCAAAACTGGACTTGATCAGTATATATTTAATATGTAAAGCAAGTGAACTTCTGAATCTTAGGAAATAAATGCACCCCTGTGGTGGCTAATGTCCATCAACTAATTAATATCCACCACCAAGCAAAGATAATGATTCTACACTCTTTTCTGTACAATCTTAAGATGGCTGTACTTAACAGTGACTACTGTGTTGAGGACAGACACGACATTAGACAGCTATTTGTGGGCCTAGCAAAGCATGCAGGTATGCGTGTATGTCTTCTTAGCTTCCAGGTTTCAGTCAGTTTCATAATCCTAGGCAGGAAGATCTGAAGATAATGATACACATGCCTGCCCTTAGGAGTCCACGGGATTTTTAACAACAGTTTCCCAACAATCTTTGGATGTGCTAATAGGTCTTAATGAGAAGAGCCACTTAAATGAAGGAGCCATTAGGTAGAGAAGCAAAGTGCCAGTGCTAGAAGGCAGTGGCAGCTGGTCTGAAATCGGAAAGTTTGCTCATGAGGTCCCCCTGTCAGAAACGAAGTTGCTGAGCGTTGGCACACGAACTGACCAATTCTTCAGAACTACCTAGGGAAACAGACAATCCAGGCTTCGGCCCTTGGTGTATGTTCTCTGTCCCGCTGCAGCAGAGAAAACAAGACTGCAGCCCCTCGGAGGGGTGCTGGGTAAAGGGGCTTTTTCAGTTGCTTTTGAACTGGCAAATACTTAAATTTGGGCATCTTATTTTTATCTTGCTGTTTTGTTCAACATTTAGCCTGAGAAGTGAAAATGAAACACAGACATAGATATCCATCTGTCTGTCTATCCATCTGTCTGTCTGTCTGTCTGTCTGTCTATCCTTCCATCCAATATATCTGCATCTTCATTTGTGACCTTCTGATTAGCTTAGTTATTGGTCCAGGCAAATAGGCTAATCATATGGTGAATTCTGGATAAATTAATTTCTCTCTTTTTAACGGTATTTTCTAAGATGACTCTTAATGCCTGGGCTGAGATGATTCCTTTTCTCTAGTGAAGAGTGTATTCTTACCACAAGACAAAATGAAATACATGATCTCTATTCTTGAAACTAATATAATATTGACTGTCAACTGTAATTGAAAAAATTAAAAAAAATTTTTTAAATGATTAACTGAAGAAAATGAAATATATGATCAAAACACAAATAACTGAAGCCCAATAAATGTAAAACTGACTACATTTGAGTAGTGGATATACTTTGAAAATCACAGGGAACAGTGTTGTGATAAAAAGTTTTTGCATGCTCATTGGGCTCTCCTGTGCCCTCATGGGACTTAATCTCACACTGCTTCTGTATAAGTCACCCAAATACACACACACACACACACACACACACACACACACACACACACACACACACGTTTAATGGGAAGTGATTAAGGTGGGTACCATCTTGTGAGACACCATAAATGTATTTTGATACATTTGTGAGCCTAAGGCTAGGAGAGAGCTATTATGTGAATAAGCAAATATTTAATATGTGTAGTTCAGTTTTCAGTTTTTCTTCATTAGACTTCATTTAACTAAAGATTACTTTAGCTAATGCTTACGGCTGAATTTGAGCCTTTTGAGTTACATATAGGACTATAATTTTATTTTTATCTGTTTTCCTAGCATCTCTTTCAGTGATAAAGCAAAGTCAGTATATTTGTATCACATTGAAAAGATAATTAGAAGAATCTCTATCATAATATTTTTTTTGTTTAGCAAATACTTATATAGAGCCTCCTTATACATGCCAGGCACTGTTCTAAGTGCCTTGAAAAATGTGAACTCATTTAATATAAAAGCTCTCACCACAAGAAAAGCTCAGATATTGTGATTCTTAGACAAAGAAGAAAATCGTTTTCTAACTAGAGTGATACAAATTAGGAATAGAATTCTATCATCTTATTATGACTTCCATACATATATTTACTGTATCAGAAAGAAATCACCTGCTACATTTTTATATTAAAGTTTTAGAGTACCCTAACTTGAATCATTCAAACTTGGCCTTAGGTATCTCTATTGAAAATTCTCCGAGTTGACAGGTATCTAAATAATTTTGATATTCATAAAGTAATTCATTTTGAAATTGTAGTCTTTCATAATTCTGAGTGAGAAACACTGCCAGAGAAGTAATCCCCACAATCACTAAATAAACAGACCTTCTCTTAGACACTCAATAGCCAGGGCATTTTTATGATTGAGTTGTGTACAAAGATCCTTGCTGTCCGATGAAATAGTTTTTCAGCCTGCAGCATGTTAAAATATATCTCAAGGAGATGAATCAATAAATGAACAGATCTCGTGGTTCAAAATACTGATGTGAAAAACAATAAGTTAAAACTTAATGAAACAGGCAGCACATTTTACTATAATTCAGATCCAGGTCCAGTTCAATAAAACTAATGGTTTTTAAGTTCATTTTTATTTTTCTATTTGGTTCAACTCCTTGCTAGTTTTCCCTATATATTTTATGAAAACTGCATGTTGCTTACCTTATGGTCCTGTGCATGTGAACTACTGTGCCTTTAACCTTGTTACAAAAACACCTCTGTTCATGGGTGAAAGAAAAGTGTGTTCTCAGCTTGTACCTTATGTGTGTCTGACAATTGTATGGATAATTTTGAATGGAAATGCTGCTGTTTAGTTTCCACAGTGCCTTCACAGCCTGATAATCCGTTTTCCCACCCCGACAAACTCAAAAGGATGAGCAAGTCTGTTCCGGCATTTCTCCAAGATGAGGCAAGTTTGTCTTTTGTACCTTCAGGAAAATGGAACCACAGAGGTGGTTATGCTATACCAAGGCTTTTGTATTTGTATTCAGCCGTGGCAGAGGCCACAGAGGTCAGCAGGACTGACCCTTGCCTTTCTTATCAATAGAGGTAGTGTTGTTGATCCTGGAATGAGGCAAGGTATGTCTCATTTGACTCAAACAGTAACTCTTTTTGGTAGTGAAGTCAAATTGCATAGATTGGGGAATGTGACTTTTGTTTCAAAGTAGGTACAAAATAAGAAATCCAGGCAGAAATATGTTGGCACGCACTAACTACCCCTCTGTAGTTTGGAGCAGAGTTGATTTGTGAAAGCTTAGTCTAGGTAGCATAACTAGCTTGAAAGCATTTGTTAACGCATTGTAGACCGGTGACACAGATTTGCGTTAGAGGATGTGGAACAATCAGAGTGAACAGGGGTCTTCCTCCAGAAACGAAAAACGAATCACAGTCTCTGAAACATGGCGAAATCACATTCAGGAAAAAGGGTGAAATTCTTCAATCCTGGAGGGATACTCATGTTGTCAACATGATTTCCACAATTCACAAGTCAACAATGGTTGATATTCCACGGAGAAATGAAGAAGTAAAGAAAAAAACCTATTAGTATTTTTCAGTATAATATGAACATGAAGGGGGTTGATAGGGTAGATCGGTACTTATAAATTTCAGTTCACAAAAATAGCGAATTTGTTATAAATTTTTAAAAAACACAGTATAAAGGTTGATTTAAATGGTTTAAACCCCAGGAACATGCATTTAAACAATTTAAGTGCCCCATCCTCAATGTGTTAAAATAATCATGTAACAATGACATAGCAGACTTGTCTACCGGGTATAGGAACGTTATATACATTATCTCGTTTAATCCTCCAACAGACCTGGGCGGTGGGCTACCTTATGATTCCCAGATATTACAGATGAGGAAACTGAGGCTAAGAGAGGTGAAGTAACCTCACTCAGCCAGAAAGGGGTTGAACCAGGACTGGAGCCCGGATCCGGCTCCCATGCTGTTAACCACTGTACCTACTGTCTCCAGTAAGCACGAGACTATTACTACCACTCACTGAGTACCTAGTCATTACCAGGCACTTAATATTCATCCTGTAACTAAATATGGTAAGTACTATTTTCTCCATTTTATAAAAGAAGAAAGAGCCTCAGAGAGGTTAAATAACCTTCCCCAAACCCAACAGCTACTAAAAAATAGATCTAATACTATAACTCAGGTCCTTTGACTTAATTAAGATTCCATGTTCTGGCAACCAGGTAGTTAGGAGAGCTTTGGAGTCAGACATTCCTAGTCCTGGCTGTGCTACTATTTGCTGTGTGATCATGGACAAGTTCCTTAACATCCCTGAGTCTGGTTTCCTAGTACCTACCTCATTAGGTTGTAAGGACTCAGTGAGATAATGCAGAGAAAACACATAGCACAGGGCCTGACACATAGTCAGTATCCAGTAAATGTTAGCTATTGCTATTTGCAAGTTGGGTCTGATTTTTGATGGTGAAATAAAAAGCTTTATCCTCAAGCATTCTCTTTGTAGATGGAATATGAAGAAAGCTCTGGACATACATTATACCCCTTCCTCCCCCACTTCCTGGGCACCATCCTTGGGCCTTAGACGAACTGTAACTGCAAATAGTCAGCCCTTGCATATGCTTAAGAGCCCACATTACAGCTCCTTTGGAAAGAACCACTCATTCTTTGAAACTGACTCATCTTAGTTGGAGGCCAGCGATAGGCACTTTATGGAGTTTCCATGCTCTTATACCTTTGTAATGTGCTTTGATCTTGGATGGTTATGTGAATGGACCATATAAATAATCTGAGAGGCAAATTATGTCAGTTCCTGCCTGGTTTTTTAAATTTTTCTCCTCCCTTCAGTTTTAACCTGTGGTCTCAGCTCCACACAAAAGAATCTAAATCGTTTGAGTTTGTGCATCAGAGATGCTAAATTAAGCTGTATCATTTTACCTTTCAAAGTACATGGGGTTGGATGGAATACTAAAGAAAATGGAGATGAAATCAGGCCTTGCTCCTTTGTCCATTATCCCTTTGAGACTTAGCATCAATGATGTGTTCAGTGCCAACTGTGTCGCGGGTCAACATCCCGTTGACACAGGATCCCATCCTTCCAACAATTAACTAATGACCTGATATACTAGGTAGAATGTAGTACATGCTGTAACAGAAGGAAATGGGCTGTAAACGTGTGGGGGACAGTGTGACAACAGAGACTTTAGAAAGGCATGGATTTTCTTTTTTAATCCTTGAGTGTTCTTTTCTCACCCATATAAGTCATAAATTTTGTTTTTCTTCAACTCCTTTCTTAATCTGCACTGGAATTGGCACCTGTTATGTTGATACATAATTGCATGGCCCTGGAATATGTTGGCATGAACTAACTCCTCTGCCGCGATGGTTTCCCTCACCCCAGGAGCCATGAACTCTCTAACCCCCAAAGGAGCTCATTCTCAATCACGAATTTTTAAAGCTGCCATCTAATAAACTTTAGATCTAAATATAATAAAACTTATTGCTATTTTCCTTTCTCAGCCCAGGTAAATATTTCCTGAGACATATATAACATAAGCACTTTGTTGCTATTTTTTTTCCAAAAATGTGTTAAATGCTTAATGTGGGTAGAATGTATAATTTAATACACTTCCCTATAGCAACAAAAAGATAAGCACAAAGCGCTATCGACGTTCATACGAGGTGGTTTAAATATATAGCTTTTAGTTAAAGCAGATCAGACGAGCATTTATTTTTCCTACTTTAATATAGTATCTCAAGTAAAAGATTTGACTTTTAGGGAAGTTGGGGCTATGTTAATAGTGGGGGGAACGAAGCATGACGTTTTATGTTTTGACAGTAAATCTCAGACATTTTACTGTCTGGGTAAAGTTAATTTCTCATCTATATCAGTAAAATGCTCCAAGAAACATGACTATGTAATATTAAGAAAGAACAAGAAAGCTCACTGTCATGCTGTCTTCTGTAGCACCTTGGGACAACCTTGTAGGTGAAGAAAAAAAAATTTACTCTGTTATTTTGGTAGCTAAGCCTACTTTCCTCCTTCCGTGAGGTCCGAGGCAGACCACTCACCCCATCCTGAATCCCATTCCTTGGCAATTAGCACTTGTGTCCTTTGACCTTGGGAAATGTCATAGATCAGTGGGATACCAACATATTATCTTTAAACAGAGATTCTGATCTTGACTCATTCTGCATTTAAATTTTGTGTATATTATATGATGTTTTGTAGAGTGATGACAGAGAAACAGATACAGCATCAGAAAGCAGTTACCAGCTCAGCAGACACAAGAAGAGCCCAAGCTCTTTAACCAATCTTAGCAGCTCCTCTGGCATGACGTCCTTGTCTTCTGTATGTAAACAAAGGCTCCGTGTTAATATCTTGCCGCTTCTGTGAACCTGGTTCTGCCATGCCCCCTGCTACCGTAAAATGCCCTTCTGTTGTAGTTCTCAAATCCCAAGGGCATGAGCTTTTTCTTCTAAACCACCGTTGGCTTCTGGCTAGCTACATCTTCCTTTTTCTTTTTTTAAGCATCAGAGAGTTTATACCCATTATAAATCAATTTGGCCTCTTCTATATAAGCACTTCAAAAATAAACCTGAATTTCCAACCAAATGAACCACTAAATTTTTCTGTGCAAGAAACAGGTGTCTATTATAAAGTCTGCTTTATCAGACATACTTTTATATACTGTTGGCAGGTATAGAATGGTACCTCTCTTTTAGAAAGCTTTATAAATAAAAGTACTGAATCCCATAAAAGAACGAGAGGTGATTCTATGCCTTATAGAAGGATTCTGAACAGGGTTGTAAAAGAAAAGTTATTTAAATGTGGTTGCTCACATTTGATTTAGAGAATTTGACTTTACATAGGACTTCTTTCTTAAAGTGAGGTAGTTGTGTGTGCTTGTAGTATGTGTGTAGGAATATACAGAGGGTGCCAAAAAAAATGTATACGCATTTTAAGAGGGGCTGTCTATGCCCAAACAGTAGTTCCCTCTAATCAGAAGTGTCTAGGATGCTGATGGTAACCATTTTGAGCACCTCTTATAATTGCAGAAGTCAAACGTGACTTGTATTCATCTCTTGTTATCGGTATATATTGTGCATTACAATTTTAATACAGTTTTTTCCTTTCTTAAAATGTGTATACATTTTTTGGCACCCTCTGTGTATATGTAAATATATCTACATACACTAATCCAAGTATTTCTCTGATATACATACACATGCACATGCACAAATCTTTCCAGGTATGTGGCCCACGTATGCTAAACAAATGATAAAGCTGTGCTTAAATTCTTACTAGCTTCACATTTCTCAAATCTTTTTTTTTTTTTTTAAGAATCTATTTAAGTTGAATTTCTGCAGCTAACAATCTAATGCATGGTCTTGGGAAGACTTTAAACTCCCTTCATCAATCATCCATTTTCTACCCTTCCTGACCTCTAAAAGCATATGGCTCAGGAAGCATTTTCCTAGGTACAGTGGATGGGCAACATAGTAAAATTCCTTTTCAGTGCCTTGGAAATTGGATAGAGCAACGTGTCACTGTGATTTGTGTGCCTGGGCCTTCTTCACATCCCCTTTCTTTAACACTTTAAATACTAAGCATGCCTAGAAATGAAACTCTGAATAGCCCTTACCATAAAATCACCCTGCTATGAAATGAGCCAGTATCTAAGTAACTTTGCATTACACTTTAAAAAAATTTTTTTTATTTCACTTTTCATCTCTGTGTCTTAGGGGCAATTTTAAAAAACTCTAGTTGGACTATGTATATCATGTCGGGTTGTCTGTGTTGCTGTGTCTTTATGCCATATTAAATTAACTGCTTTTATATGCAAACTAGAGAAATAATGGCAAGCAAGTTCTGGCTTATAGCCATGATCCTTGCGTTGGGTTGAGACGGAGACAAGCGCTGCATGTTTCTGATGCTTTCAGGTGAGTGGCAGTGTGATGAGCGTTTATAGTGGAGACTTTGGCAACCTGGAAGTGAAAGGAAGCATCCAGTTTGCCGTTGACTATGTGGACTCCCTGAAGGAGCTGCACATCTTTGTGGCCCAGTGTAAAGACTTAGCAGCAGCAGATGGTAAAAAACAGCGTTCAGACCCGTAAGTACAGCTTGGAGTCACTGTTGTCTCTGAGTTACTCGTAATCTTGTAGAAATTGGGGAGGACAGAAAGCAATTGAAGCGAGGGCATTGCTGTTAAAAAGGAATGTTTGAAAGGAAAAAACGAGGAAAATGCTGTTTTATTTACTTGATATATTCATATGCCAAAATGATCAGATTACAAAAGTGTCAGAGAAGCACAGAATGTTTCAAGTTAGAAGGGGCTTTTGAGGTCACCTTGTCCAGGTCCTTCTTTTTTACAGATAAGGAAAAACAAGGGCCACAGAAAATAAGCAGCCAGTTACATAAAATCTGACAGTCAGCAGCAAAATGAAGAATGAGGGCTCGAATCCCAGGCTCTTTCCATGACACTCTGAAATTTTCTCTAAAATTAGCAACATGTGGCACATACTTCATAATGTTCAGTGGTGCAGAAATAGCTAAAATTCTAGAATGAGGCAATTTCCATATTTAAATTATACTCTACAGAACTTTAGGAGGAATTACCAATTCATCTTTGCAATCACAGGTTTAATGCATTTCAGGGTATTTGCAAAAGTTAAATGGTATTTCCTGCTTATCCCTATGCAGGAGTCTGATTCTTAATTATTTTGCTAGCATAAGCCCAATTCTTTTTGCTTGTATTGTAAAAACAAGTGGGCTCAGTATCCTTTTGTTTTTACATTTAATATGGCTTGATTAGGTGTGTGCTAAGATTAATTTTTTTTTCAAAAGACAGTAACAAAAACTTTTAAAAAATTCTGCAAGCACCAAAGCCTTTCTTCATAGGAAACAAGCTGATAGAATTAAGCACTCTGTTAGAGGTCTGTTGTCTTCTCACCCCCCCCCCCATATTAGATAAGCCCAAATGAAAAGAATTCTGAAAATCTTCAAAACAATATAAAATTACCAATTCCACTGAAATTGCTTTACACTTTTAAGTATAAAGGTGTTATGAGGACATTTATTACTTACTGTTTTTCTCATTATCATGAAATAATTATTTCTGTCCATTCCCAATGCATTTTTTAAAGTAAAAGTGGAAACATCACTTCAGCTTTCTCTCACTTTGTTGTCTGTTCAATTCTCTTTTTAGATATGTAAAGACTTACCTGTTACCAGACAAGGGCAAAATGGGCAAGAAGAAAACACTTGTAGTGAAGAAAACTTTGAATCCTGTGTATAACGAGATTTTGCGGGTATCTATGAACTCTCTGTCTAGGAAAATCCTAAATGGTGACCTATCTGTTTTTAAATAGCTATGTCTTCTTGAGTAGCATCTGTATAGATGAAATCAGTCACCAAGAGAGGAGAAGAAAAGGAATAAACAGTTTTTGAAAATCTGCTTTGTATGAGATGATGTACCATAAATGTTGCATGCATTATCTCATTCATTCCTTACATACCCTATCAGGCAGGTGTTATTATCTGCATCCACAGGTGAGGCAAAAGAAGCTTAGAGAAATAGAATAACTTGCTCAAGGATACACAGCATTGCAACAAAAATGATCTTCTAAAAGCATAATTCTGGTTGTTATTTCTCTGTTTAAAATCTTTTAGGATTCCCATTACCCTCAGGGTCAAGCCCACCCTTAACTTGCACACCAGTTCCTTCACAGCCTGAGCTCCAGCCTCATCTTTTCACATTTGTAGTCATTGTTCAGGCCACCCTGATTTTTTTCTGTTCTTTGGAAGAACTACATTTTCTCACGCTGCTGGAACTTTCTGTCCCTTTAGGCTGGAATATGTTCCCCACATTCTATCCTTAACTACCTCCTACAGTCTTAAATGCCTCTCCCAATGAGAGGCTGTCCTTAACCCCTCAGTTCCCCTGCCATCTGCTGCCTCCGTCTTCTTGTTTAAGAATAGGTTATATTAACTCTCAGCATTTTACTGGTTTGTCTGCTTTTTCATTATATTGTAAGTTCCCTGAGGGCAGGGACCAACTCTGTGTTGCTTATAAACTGTGTGTTCTTGGGTAAATGACTTAATAACCTGTTTGCGTTTCACATCTGCAAAGGGGAGATAATAATAGTACCTACCTACCTGCAACAGTAGTTGTGAACATTAAAAGAGTTAATATACATGAAGTAATTAGTATACATTAAACACTTAATAAATGTTGACTCGTAGTACAGTGTCTGGGATAGGTACTCAAAAAATGTTTATTGGAAGGACAGGTGAATGGAAAACATTCCTGGCTCATATACCCACATTCTTTTTTTCCCCCCAAACTGCATCATGCTGACTTAGTCATGAGGAACAGATCATTTAAAACTACAAATAGAAAAAGTGTTGCTCATTCTCTCTTTCTGAAAATTCTGTCCAAGTGTTTGGTTATCCTCCAAGAAAAGAAATAGCGTTAAATGAACTCTCAGTCATCCATGGGTGAATTTTCTGTAACAAGTTTTAATTACAGCTTGACTATGATATACCTCAGCACCCTAGCTATTTCTAGGTCAGCTACTTCAACCCTATACTCAGGAAAAGCCAGATAATTTGAATGGCAAATTCAGAGAAAGGCAAGTCAGCTATAACCAAAATGGACATTCAAGTACTATATCATAAAGCCCAATAGAAATTATTTTTAGATTAGAAGTACTATTATCCCTTCTATGATTATATATAATCAAGGACTGACTACATTTTAGATGAAACTCTTAGGATGCCAAATATTTTCCACTTGACCATATAAAGCAGGAAAAATCAAGTATATCTTTTCTTGAAAAATACCTTGTCCTTGCAGGATAGCAATAGTGGGAGAGACTGTGTGTATATGGGGGCAGGTGCTGTACTTTCCACTCAGTTTTGATGTGAATCAAAAACTCCTCTAAAAAATAAAGTCTATTAAAAATATACCTTGTCCTTAGGTAGAAAGCAGACCATTGGATTAAACTTAATTTGTGTTTTTAGATTGCATTTGATTTATGTTATACCTAGCTAGAACTAAAAACATCCAGTAAAAAAAAATGAATAATTGGCTTTTGTGTTTAGAGAGCTATTACCAGCTATGATATTTGAGCCATGGTTTGCTTTTTCCAGACGGGCAAAGAAAATCAGCTTTTGTGAAAGATGGATTTTAGCTTTTAGAAACAAGACACTTAGAATAAGATGACTTTGCAATATTCTTGAGACTTGAAACCTAATAGATGAGAAAATCTGATCTACACAGATGACTTTTCTCTTCATCTCTATGTTATTATAACTTTGGCATAAGATAATAATATTCACCACTTTAATTTCCTTCTTTGAACTGCAGTATAAAATTGAAAAGGAAATCTTAAAGACACAGAAGCTGAACCTGTCTGTATGGCACCGGGATACATTTAAACGCAATAGTTTTCTAGGGGAAGTGGAACTTGATTTGGAAACTTGGGACTTGGACAACAAACAGAATAAACAATTGAAATGGTATCCTCTGAAGCGCAAGGTAAGTTCAGAGTTTTTGGGGTTGCTTGGTTGGTTAGATGGGGACCTAGTGTATAGGAGAAAGCTACTATAAATTGCATTTTCATTCAGAATGCTTATCTATAGTTTGGAATCATTCTATCTTTTTATTCTGTCCTACATATCTCTTATGCTCATTTTTGTATTTCCTTTTTCCTTTTTTCCCCCTCTATATTGTTCAGGTTGGCTGTTTTTTGCTAATCAATCTTTCAGTTCAATAATTTTCTTGTCTGCTATGTCCAGTCTGCTGTTATACCTATTTACAAGTTCTCAATTATTACATTTTGTCAGATTTATATTTTCATTTGATTTTTTATAAATTCCACCTCTGCTAAAATTCTACATCTTAGCATTATCTTTATGAATTCATTAATCAAAGTTGTTTGAAGTGTGTGTCTGAAAACTCCAATATCTTGAACATTTGTGAGTCTCTCTTTATTTAGAATTTTATCTTATTTTGGTCATTTGGTCCTTTGTCCTGGTATTCCTCTTCATGTGTTATTGCAGGCTGACCATTGCATATGAAAAATTCTAGGGATCATTTTAGAAAGTTTACTTTTGCTTCTCACACACAGGATAGGGACAGACCGCCTTAATCTAGTCCGGGAATGAAGTGACTAGACACTGGGGTTCAGGTTTTATGTGGTCTGATCTAGTTTGCCCACATTCTTAGGCAGTGGGTTCCAACTGAAAGCCTAGAGAAGTAGTTCTCAAATTTTAGCATAGATTCAGTTCACCGAAGGAATTACTAAAACACGGATTCCTGGGCCCTATTCCCAAGGTTCCTGGTTCAGTAAGGTCTGGGCTCAAGAATATGCATTTCCAACAAGTCCCCAGGCGTTGCTGAGGCTGCTGGCCTGGGGAACATACTGTGAGAACATACTGGCCTCGAGTATTATCTGAGGCCATTCCTCTCTAGCTGGCCATGGACTCCAGGTGTTGTCTCCCCAGCCCCATGAGACTGCCAAAAGCCCTGCTCAGCTTCCTAGTCTCTTTCTGCTAGGCTTTTTATTCTCACAGTTCAAAATCAGCTAATGCCTCCAAGTGGAAAACAGAGAAAAGTGTCAGACTCCAATGTCTTGCCCATTTGAGTCCTGTCTGTCTTAATAATTCTTTACAACCTTCAAATAGATGTTTAATCAGTTTTTTAGTCTCAATATGAGGGTTGGTGTGATCCGGCTAGTCCATCATAGCTGGAATTTATATATATATATATATATATATATATATATATATATATATATATATATATATATATATATATATATATATATATATATACAAAAAAATGTGTACACATTTTAAGAAAGGAAAAAACTGTGTTAAAATTGTAATAATATATACTGATAGCAAAAGATGAATACAAGTCATGTTTTGACTTCTGCAATTACAAGAGGTGCTCAAACTGGTTACCATCAGCGTCCAGACACTTCTGAGTACAGCGCACTACTGCTTGAGCAATGTTGACCAAAGTGTCCACTTGTACACAATTTTTTGGCACCCCTGGTTTGTGTGTGTAATTAACACAAACCATTATTTAGTATCTACACAATAAAACAGTTCCACTTAAGAAATGGTTTTCAAATATCACATCAAAATCACTGAAGCACTTATTTCTAACCCTACCCAAGACTTGCTGAATCTGAATTCCTCAGGAGATGTCAAAAGCATCTCATTTTTAACTAACTTGCTTTATGTTTCTGATGCATAGCCAGGTTTTGGAAATGAGGCTCTAAAGGACCAGAATTTGAAAGTAAAACCATCTCTATTATACTTGAAAATAACAGATATACACTTTAAAATTATTAGCCAGTTTGTTATTCTTATAGGCATCTACTCATTTGGCCTAAAATAATCAGGTTAATGCAGCTTTGAAAATGTTATGTTTGGCTTCTTTTTCCCATCCCCACCTTCCCACGTTCTGTTTACTCCTTCGAAGATAGAAAATACACGTAAGTTGTTCGATGTGCTGGCTGAATGACTAACAAAATGTATGTGTTTCTGTAAAGACCAAAGCATCATACAACACTGCTCCCATCTCCCAGAAATCCATGTGGATTCCTCCACTGTCTCAGAGACTAAAGGCCTTGAACTGTTTTCTGGGTAACCTATAAGTTTTCTAAGACACACAGTATAGCTTTCCCAGATATAAAAGCAATAGTCTAGCTTTGATGGGGAGGCTATTTTAATCCAGGGCACTCATGAGTGATCTGTTGTCCCAGAAATGGGGCAGACATAGTGCTGTAACAATCCCAACAAATGATAAATATTAGTTTGTATCTCACACCTGCTGACATTCTTTTTTTTTTTTTTTCCCAGACAGCACCAGTTGCCCTTGAAGCAGAAAACAGAGGTGAAATGAAGTTAGCTCTCCAGTATGTCCCAGAGCCAGTTCCTGGTATGTAATGATTTTCTGTCCAGATTTATGCCCTTTCCTTACCCCTCCCGCTCCAAGGATGGCTTTGATGTTTTCAAAGGTAAAGCCCTAAGCAAACTCCCTAACTTAGTAATGGTATAGTTCAAATGAGTAAATTTGCAGCTATGAACTAGAAAATCCTCATTTTTTTGTTGTTGTGATGAAAACACATAACAGAATTTAGCATCTTAACCATTTTTAAGTGTAACTTGAGTAGTATTAAGTATATTCACATTGTTGTAAAGCAGATCTCCAGGACATTTTCATTTGTGTATCTGAAACCCTATATCCATTAAACCACAACAGGCCCCTTCGCCTTCCCCTGGCTCCTGGTAACCAGCATTCTACCTTGTTTCTGTGAGAAAAATTCTCATTTTTCCCCCCAGTCCAGTTTACAGTCCTTGTTTTAACTTTCACCTCACTCGTTCAAAAGTTTGTATATGCACATTTTGAAGTGCCTGTCCTATATTCAGAATTTGGACCTATTGAGAGCGTTATGGTAAGAATGGAACCTGAGCGTTCTTTTTCACAGGTGGGAACTGGAACAGTTCATATGAAGCCCCTAAGAAATTAGAGCTCATTGGTCTTCCACTCTCAAAAGTCTCATCAGAAGAGAAAGCTTTTTCCTCAAGATTACTAATTGCATCCTTGATGTTAGGGCCTCAGGTCTGCAGCCCAGTTAAGAAGCAAGAGACTAGCAGGAAATAAAGACCAGCCCCCCTCTCATTTCCCAAGCAATCACCCCAAGTTATTCTCCTTAAGAATCTGTGTGAACGTTATGACTGAAATCAGGGGTGGCACACAAAAATACTTTCAGTAGCCAGGCAGTGGATGCTAATGGGATGATAAAAATAAAGGATGGTGAGGGCAGTGACTTATTAGAGAAAGGCTTTCTAATGCAGTTAAAAAAAAAAAAAGAGGGGGGTGGGAATTGGAGGGCAAGCAAACATATCTTTAGGTCAAATGGCTTCCAAACTACCATCTTGTTACTTCTGGACCTTTCTAAAAGGCAGATTCTTTTATATATAATTTGTATCCTATCATTTATGGCCAACATGCATAGAAATCTTCCAAACTCATTTCCCATCTTTCCTACTATCATTTCTTGGTGGTAGGGGCTGGGGGACTGTGTTTTGTGATGGGCTCCACCTTGACTGAGTTTTTGCTCAAATAGTTTCTCTTCTCTGGAATGGCTTTATTTTCTCCTCAACCTATCCAAGTCTTAGATGAAGTCCCACCTCCTCCATAAAGCTTTTCCTGACTATACTGACCTTACTGGTCATATTATCTTCTAGGGCATTACAGTGATAACTTGGCATTTCATTCCATATTACATTTTTAGAGTTCCTATTGAATTACTCTTTGTCGCTTAATGTTAAACATTTCCCAAGGACATAGATTTTTTTGTATTCCTTGTATATTCAGTGACATTCTTAGCATAGGGCTGAGTACATAATAGATGCTCAGCAAATACTTATTGTTTGACTAATTGGAAAAATATGATAGTATTCCTCTGTCCGTGTGCACCCAATCGAAACGACAACTTCGAATTAAACCAGCTTCTCTGTAATTTCCTGTCCGTAATATTAGCTATCATGTGTGTCTATATAGTAGTCTTATAAAATATGTAACTACTTTTAAGAAGAAGAGTGACTGTACCTTACTTAGCCCATACCTGTTTTGGTTACTTTACACTCCAATCTGTTTAAAATGCCTCCCATCGACTCCAATTAATATTGGTATAAATATTTGAACAGTATATGTATTTCATTGAGATGTTTTGATTGCAACCGTAAATGGATGACTCACATACCTGATATCTATAATTGATCTTATTGAACCTGGCAAAACCCAACAAAAATGATGTAATACTCTGTCCTTGGAATGAATAGAGATTATTTTCAAATAGCTGTCTGAGCTCAGTACAGTTAGACTATAAAAGATATAGTTAAGAATGTATAGATTTATGGTTAGAGCACATGCTCTGAAAACAAGGTTGCCCATTTGATTCCCATATGGGCCCGTGAGCTGCACCCTCTGCAACTAGATTGAAGGCAACAACTTGAGCTGAGCTGCCGCTGAGCTGCCAGTGGGCGGCCAGATGGCTCAGTTAGTTAGAGCATGTGCTCTTAACAACAAGGTTGCCAGTTTGATTCCTGCATGGGATGGTGGACTGCACCTGCTGCAACTAGATTGAAAATGACGAGTGGACCTGGAGCTGAGCTGTGCCCTCTACAACTAGACTGAAGGACAATGACTTGACTTGGAGCTGATGGGTCCTGGAAAAAACACACTGTTCCCCAATAAAAAAAAACTTTTTTAAAAGAATATATAGATTTAACCAATTAGGATCATATCATCAAGCATTAGCTAGGATCACTGTGCCAGGCCATTTTTAGATTGGCATCTTTAGAGGCAGTATTGCCAAGAGAGGAATGGCAGTGAAATTTTATTTTCTTTTTTTTCTATTACAGGTAAAAAGCTTCCTACAACTGGAGAAGTACACATCTGGGTGAAGGAATGCCTTGATCTACCACTGCTAAGGGGCAGCAATCTAAATTCTTTTGTTAAATGGTAACAGCATTGATAACTCTTGGCTCCCTCAGTTCTACAACTTGCTGTTTGGTTTTAGTTCTCTGTATCTGTGATGCTGAAACTCCTCATTCATAGCTTAAATTAAATAACTTGAGACAGTGGCTACTAGAGGGACCTGTGACACAAACCCCCAAGGCTTCATTGAAGTTTAAAATTATAAAGATAAGGGAGCACATACACAAATGCAACCAGAGAGCACATACTCAGATATGTAATGTCTTCTAGGAGGTACATCTGCTTGTGGGAACAATATTCAGCACTAAAGAGTTTATGAAATTTCTGACAGTGGGATGTCATACCTCTTGGCTCCTAAGTGAAACACCTGTTTTGTGGCCCATTTGCTACAGGCCTTTGGCATCAGCCGGCAAATACCTAGAAAATTATTTGCTAAACAGACTTGTCCTAATAGCTCATAAGAGCGTAAGACAATTCAGGTTCTTAAGTGGCAAACATTTTTCTCTGTTAATGCCTGGTATCTAATAGGAACTAATCAGACACTATTGTGCTGACCTACTTCACTCTGACTAATCTTATCTATATAGATTCTACCAGAAGTCCAGTTGTAGCTATCTAAGTTTATATGACATTATTTATGACTTTCCCCATATATACTTCATGGATGTCAGCTGGTAAGATTTTTCCAACTCAGGACTGGCCTCAGACCTTCTTGCATTTCTAAGGGGCATGGTGGGTTAAAGTTAATTCAATTATTACCATAAATTAAGTGGAAATTATTATAAATATATAATATAATTTATTCCCAAAGTCAAATCTAGCAAATTGGAGAGGTTTCTCTTCTTTTTCAGTTCTGTACAAGACTTATTCCTTAGGCTGTCACAGATCATCAGGGGTAGACTGTGCTTCCAAATTTTAAAGGAATCCTCAAACAATTGCTACAATGTAGGCACTGAACTAAGTTGTTTTCTTAATATGTAATTCTAATATTAACCTTACAAAGTAGGCATTCCCATTCCCATTTTATAAATGTGTAAGCAAGCGTCTGAAAGGTTAAGTAACTTTTCCTATAATACACAGCCAATAAGGGGCAGAGTCAGGATTCAAAGCAAGCCTGGTCCACTGTACCGTGCAGCGTTTTTCCTGCAGGATGCCCCATGAACACCATTACCATTTCTCTGCTCTCTTTTCTTCCACTCCTTCCACCAATCCTCAGGAGCTAGGTTGAAGTGCACTGAAAGCATAAATGTTCACTATCTAATTAAAATGCCCTCACAATAATGTTTCCTTTCATAGTACCATCCTTCCAGATACAAGTAGGAAAAGCCGTCAGAAGACAAGAGCCGTGGGGAAAACCAACAACCCCGTCTTCAACCACACCATGGTGTACGATGGGTTCAGGCCTGAAGACCTGACGGAAGCCTGTGTAGAGCTCACTGTCTGGGACCATTACAAACTAACCAACCAGTTTTTGGGAGGTCTTCGGATTGGCTTTGGAACAGGTACTTGTTACATTTTTTAATTCCCTACGCGCCAATATGCGCCAAATGCTTCTGGAGACACTAGAGGTTTGTTTGTTGCTTTGCTTCTTCCTAAGGAAAACAGATATTTTATTTCTGTAAAGTGTAATGAAATGACTGAGTGGAGGAATCTCAGACTGTGTGCTAAGGGCTCTTGATATGAAGATTAACAGGATGCAGTGTCTGTCCACACAGAGCTTATGTTATTGTAGGGGGGAGAGGGGGAAGACAGGAAAGCCTTTATTATTATTATTATTACTCTTTCTTGAAAAAACATTTATGGCCCTTCATGGCTAAAAGTGCGCTTTGAATAATAATAGTATCTAACACTTATGGAGCATTAGTCACTGTATTGAGTGCCTTTATTTGCATTATTATTTCATTTAATGCTCACAACAATTCCATGAGTAGTGACTAATGTTAGCTCCAGGGGAACTGACATTCGGAGAAATGAAGCAACAGAGCTAATAAGCATCAGGGCTAAGATTCAAAATTGAGTCTGTTAGACACAAAAGCTGTAACCACACTTCCTTAGAGATCATCTTGTGTCACTTCCAACCCACTGCCTTATGTCCCTGACAGATTGTCATCTAGCTTTTATATGATAAACGTGAAGAGAAATCATTACCCTGGGAGTCATGGAATACTCCCAATTATGGAGTGTCTCGTTATTGGACATCTCAGATGGTTAAACGTTCTTTCTTATATTGAGTCCCAGATCTGCCTTCCTGGTGATATTCCTAGCTGTCTTCCATTGGTGATTACAATTAAAGAATGACCCATTTCCCCCTCAACGAGCAGCTCCTTTCTAAATGCAAAGCTTCCTTTTTTTTTTCAGGTAAAAGCTATGGTACCGAAGTGGATTGGATGGACTCCACTGCAGAGGAAGTTGCTCTCTGGGAAAAGATGGTAAAGTCCCCCAACACTTGGATTGAAGCAACCCTGCCTCTCAGAATGCTGTTGATAGCCAAGATTTCCAAATGAACCCAAAGCCCATTGGCTCCTCCACTGACAACTACTCAATAGGTGGTCTCTGATCTCGAAAATCTGACTATGTGGACAGAGAACCTCGCCTTCTATCTGTCACCACTAACGAATGCATGTTCAAGTCAACCTGCATGTACTTCTTTGGCTATAAGGCCCAAAAGAGTTAAATAATAACAAAACGCATAATGTATTTGTGCCTCCAACATTCAAGAAGATATTTGAGAAAGCTAGGAAAATCCAGCTGTTGCTTCAAAGAAAGCGCTGCCCCAAAATATTAAAGGTGGGGCGTTGTTAATGGGGAAAGGCTTCTAGATTGCCATCATGTGTTTCATACCACAATCTTGTGTTACAGCTGTGGGGGGGCTGCCACTTGATCATTGAAAATCCTTCCAGGAACTGAAAATAGGTAGGCTGCAGAAAAGAGTGACAGAAAGATACAATTACGAGGGGAACAAAAGGCAGAATGTCAGCGATGATAAAGGATTTGACCATTAAAAAAGTGTTTACTCTGTAATCGCTACTAAAATATGGAATTTCATGTCTGGACAATGAGACTGAATTTACTGCGTGCGTTTTTGTTTTGAGAAACTGCTTTCCTTTTTCCCCGTGTTGAAAACAAAGTCTCAAATGTGCTTTGGTGCCACCCACTGGCCAAAGGTGGAATTCAGTTTTTGCCTTATTGTTCTCCTAAGGCAGGTCTCAAGCGTGCATTTTGTAATGGAGTATGTAAAAAAATCACACCCCCGCCCCGGCCAAAAAAAAATCTTTGCATATAGAAGGTTCTGTTTTTCTTATAACTCTACTATAGGAAAGCAGCATGAGAGTGGCCACAGCTTTGCAACGAAGTTTTAATTAGAATATAAATGGTTAAATTATACTGTATTTCCTATGTATGTATAATTTTCATAAAGTATTTTGTAAAAACCCTTAGAATAAATTATTATATGATTTAATCATGTTGTCAAATTAATCTGACTTCTTATTTTAAATTAAATTCTTTATTTAGGAACCCTAAAATCTAAATTCACCAGCAAGGCTAAATAACTCCTGTTGGGCTAATACTTTTCCAGAGTCTTTCCTGCAATGCTGGACATTATTTCCTCCAAATGGGAAGTTTTGACTATGTTATGAAGAGTAGACTTTTTATTTTAAGAAAGTATTTGAAAAGCTTTGAAGAGAAATTAACGTTCATTTGTGAAAGTTTTCCATAGCAACATTTTTGGGTCATTTTAATATAGAGAACATATTCCTCCTCAGGACTCAACTACCTTTCTCAAAATGAGCACTAATTTAACTTTGGTTAGGGGAAGCCTGGATGGTGGGCGAGTGTGAGACCTTGCAACGGGTATCTAACAAATGTCATCGAAAACAGCTAGAGTGCTTGCCTCCACCCCCAAACAAATATTAGAACCTTCTACCTACTTGCCAGTAAGAGCAACTAACCTAGACCAATGCCCTGCCCATTGTCTGTCAAGGTCTTCTAGGAGGACATTTAGTCTAACTCTGTTTCCTCTCCCTGTTCTGACCACGAGAAGTGGGAAGATGAGCTGAATGGAAGCACACCTCCAAGGTCAGTCTGAAACAGTAGCAGAAGTGCAAATCCTGTTCCAGCTCCTGCCACTTCATGGCACTCACAAGCTACTTTCTCAGCCCTTCTTCAGTTACCTGCTCAGCCACCCCCCAGCAGGCAGGCAGCTCCAAAGGACTAATAAGATTGATTCTAGGACTAAGGCTGCCAAACATCCTTGCATCCCCCAGGTCCGTGACCTTCAAACAACTGGAGTGGGCAGCAGAAACACCCTCCTTGCATCTGCCCACAGTACTTCCGACTGCCTCAGGACATCCAGGGGGATTTCAGGTCACATTTTTTTTTCTGAAAACGAAAATATACAGATCATAATCTCACTGGGCTACAAGAAGAAGGCTAAATGGGACCTTCATGCATTATAAAGTGTGGCCAACCTGGATTCTTTAGTGAATTCCAGTTGGCAGACTTTTGAGCCTGTGGGACTTATAAGCAAAGTTCCTGCTAAAAATTTAATGAATATATATATATATATATTTTTGAAAGAATATCCTTGAATTGCATGTTTTAGGGCTTTGTTTCATTTTTTTTCTTTAGAAACCCAGCTAGAAATAAGCCAAACAAAGGGGGATTGGTTGGAAATATATTGTGAGCCCACAGAATTTAAAGAAGCATTGCAGGAGCCTAGATTACTTTGGGGACTCAAGGGCTGGACCTAGGAACTCAGATGCTGTCCCTGAGGGAGAGGGAAAGAGTACCACAGGCAGCTAACCTTTCAGCTAAAGCACTTCTCTTTTATAAGTTCAGCTTGAGAAATCTCTGGGAGAAAGTGGCTGGGCTTGGGTCATGACCCCGCCTACTAGACCACTCACTGTGGCCAGGAATGGATGGGGTAAGGTCTTATGATACACCTTGCCCGGGTTATGCGTCCACTTTGTGGTCAGGGAGAAGTGATCCATTATCAGCAGAATTGAGTGTTGTATAGACTTGGGTGCTGGAGAAATCAAGAGCTGTAATTTGTGTCTCCCTCAAGTAAAAATACTTCCGAATTCTGTTACTAAAAAACTGAAGTACTATTTCAAAGAGTCACTACTGACTCTTTCCAGAGTGGCCTGATGAAATTTCCCCATCTACCATGACTGCTGCAGCTTCTAAGTAGGTGGTGAGGGTTCTGGAACCCTGTAACCTGCTCATGTGGTCTAGGAACCCACCAAAAGCATGATTACTGTTAGCCTAGGCGAACTTCCTGCAGAGAGACCTGGCTATGTGTACCCAGGAAATTGCCTGGACTTCTTCCTTACATATCTCCATCAGCCATACTCACCATCCAAGTAAAAAGCCCCTGAACATCTGCCATCTGTACTCTCATTTCCATTCTGCTTTGCGATTGCTCTCCTATCTCCTCTCCTGTCTTCACTACCTCCAAGGCTTATTCACTAATTTCACTAGTTGGTTTCACAAAACAAACGGCCCCGCATATTTGACACAGATGTTTTCCTTATTGTTATGACTTGAGAGATTAAATATGACGCCAGAAACAGTGATTACAGGAATTGTCAACTCTTCACTCTGTGCTTCAGTTTTCACAGTATTAAGATCATTCTGAATTTTAAGTTATTTACCTTGCATTTTTCAGTTATCATTCTAACATAAGCACTTCCATGCCATTAAATTCCCTATAAACATGATAACGTTTAATGGCTACATAATATTCTGTTATACGAAAATAAAATTTTCTTAACGTTTTCTCTTTTTTGGACGTTTAGGTTTTGGACTTTTAGCTGTTCTAAACCACACTGCAATGAAAAGCTTTGAGCAAAACTTCTTTCAGATTATTTCCTGAGTAAAGGTCACCCCAGAAGGTCAGTCATTAGTTCAAAAGGCATAAAAATGTAAGTTCTCAATACATGTTGTCAACTGACTTTCATCAACACTATAAGATAGCACCTATTTCACTATACCCTTATCAGTCCTGGGTGGTCTGAAAATAAAGCGAAAAACTGACTAGTTTGATAGATAAAATTCTACGTAATTTTCACTTGTATTTATTGGATCACGGATGGGATTCAGTTCTTTGCCATTTCTGTCCCCTCATCTGTGAATTTAATTGTTGATTTCTCTTTTAAGATGTTAAATAGCTTTATTGATTTGTACAGGCTCTCTATAAAAATATAAATCTAATGTCTGTCATATTTATAGGGGATATTTTTTTCAATTTGACTTTTGCCTTCAACACACATTTTTCTGAGTTTCCCCAAAGTGCCTGGCACTGGTCTAGTCATCAAGGATGAAATACAGTCCCTGCCCTTAATGATCTCAGGGCTTCATAGGGGGAGGCAGGTGGGTAAACAATGAGTGTAATGAGGCTTCCACATGCTCCATTAGAAGCACAAATAGGCTATAGTGGATGCACTAAAAGAGGTGAGCGGCCAAGTCTACATGTAGGGCCAGGAAAGACTTCACAGAGGAGCTGATGCTTATCTAAGTATAAAACACTGAATAAACTACTTGAGTGACAAGGAACAAGATGGGAAAAGGTATTCTAGGCACCAGGGACAGCTATGGACAGGGCCAGAGACATGGTCTTTTAGGGGAACTTCAATAGCTGGGTTGGTCTAGGGAGGAAAATGTCAGGCCGGTGTAGAGGAAGGAGAGCCTGAAAAGGCCTGAGGTCAGATAATTTTTTAAATGATACCTCACTTTAGATGTGCAACAAAGTCACATTAAGCTTTCTCTTACTCACCTCTTACATAATGTTTAAGCTAAGCTCCCAAACCAGAGCTTTTGTGGTTGCCTTTATCTTCTTCTAGTTTCCATTTTTAATACTTTGATTTCGTTTTACTCTTTACATTTAACTCTCTAATCCATCTGGAATGGACTTTGTTATATGATGGTAAGCCACATCTGGATCTTTTTCTTCTGTTTAAATGTGTATCATGTCTGTATCTTTCATTACACTTCCTTTTGTAACTTTATTTTGCTAATGGATAAAAACAGGGAGTGCTGAATATCGAATGGAGTATTTACTTCCAGCTGGTGACAGTGCTAAGGAAGACAAAAGAAATTGCACAGGGATTTGCTCCTTTGCTGAGATGAGCCAAACACTACAGGTGCAATCTCACAGCCATTTAGGGTTCTGGCTTTCAGAGTATCCCTGTTACTTTGCATTTATAGACTGCAGTATTTTAAGGGCCAACCTTGTTTCCAAAGACAGTAATGTATTCTCATGTCGACTGAAATGGGGAAAGGGAGGAGGAATATGTCACTGCTTGATTTGTTTACTTCTAGGAAATCAGGTGGATTCAGGTTTCTTCCCCCGGCTCTGACTGGAAATCAGGGTGGGGTGGGGGTGGAGAGGGCTGGCATTTCTTCTCTGTGCAGTATAGGCCACACTGTAAACTGAGAGCTGTGATTGGTTAGATTAGTCAAGCATAACCTGACCAGATTGGTTCCGGACTCCCCCAGACTTCCCTGTTGTTACTTCACAGCATTCTGAAGACCTGTTCACCAATCACAGGGCTCCTTACTGGAAAGATCAGCGGCTGGAGCGTGCCAGGAGTCCCTGGCAACACTGTTGGCTTTTGAAATCTGAGGGGGGAAAGACTGTGTGTAGTGAGCCGGTAGTGGAGGAGAACTCGTATGCCCCAGGAAGAGCAGGCTCTCAGGATGGACTCTCCACCCTCTGAAGAGCCCTTATTAGATACACAGGACAAAAAACTGGAAAACCAGGAAGAAGAGATGGAGTTTAAGGAACTGGATGGTCTGAGGGAAGCCTTGGCAAACCTCCGGGAACTGTCCGAGGAGGAGAAGGGCGAGAAGGGATTGCTTTGCTCCCGCATCCAAGAGCAGTCCCAGCTCATCTGCATCCTGAAGCGGAGGTCAGACGAGGCCCTGGAGCGCTGCCAGATCCTGGAGCTGCTCAACACAGAACTGGAGGAGAAGAGGATGCTGGAGGTTGAGAAGCTGAAAGCCAAGAGTGAGCATGCCCAGAAGCTGGAGAAACGCTTTATGACCCTGGCAGCCAACCACGAGTTGATGATCCGCTTCAAGGACGAACACAAGCGTCAGAACGTCAAGCTGAGAGAGGAGAATGAGAAACTGAGGCTGGAGAACAACAACCTCTTCAGCCAGGCTTTGAAGGACCAGGAGGCCCAAGTACTGCAGCTCACCACCCGGAGCGAGGCCCTGGCCAAGGAGTTGGAGACTCTGAAACAGAGGTGTGCCCAGGATGCCTGCCAGGCACGGGCCCGAGAGAAGGAGCTGCTGGAGTGGCAGAGCCAGGAGGCCTGCGCCCACACGAAGGAGACAGAGCAGCTGCACAGCCTGCTGCACAGCCTCCAGCAGCAGCACCAACAGGCCATGGAGCAGATGGCGAAGGCCGAGCAGGCCCACAGCACCCTGAGCCAGGAGCTGCAGGCCAGGCTGCAGGCCGTCACTCGCGAGAAACAGGAGCTGCTGCAGCTGTCCATGGAGAGGGGCAAGGTGCTTCAGAACAAGCAAGCGGAGATCCGCCAGCTTGAGGAGAAGCTGGAGATGGCAGATGCGGCCAGGAAGCAGGCGCTAGAGCGGTTTGAGCAAGAGGCAGTGGCTGTGGACAGTAACTTGAGAGTCCGCGAACTTCAGCGCAGGATAGACGGGATCCAGAAGGACTACGATGACCTCAGGTTGCAGTCCGAAGCCTTCAGAAAGCACAGCCTGGATCTTTTAAGCAAGGAGAGACAACTCAATGCCAAACTCCGCCATCTCTTTCCATAAAAAACTTCTGCTTCCTCCGGCCTCCAATTTAGAATTCAAATATTTGTGCCTTAGCCTAATGGCGAGGGTAACAATGGTATTCCATTTATTATACTTTTAAGCACAAAAAGCAACTCAAAGAAAAGCTGCTTTACTATGATATTATTATTGTTAACTAGGTAAGGCTAACACTAATTGTCAGTCCCACCACCTAGAATGTACAAGGTTGACCAGATTTCTCTCTGTGCCTTTGAAATCTTCCTAAGTTCACTGACAGTAGAACCTACACCTGGTCCCATAATTTATTTATTCTCAACCTCAAATATCTTCACATATCCTAATATTTTAAATGAGCAGCTCCTATAGATTTAAGTGAATCTTAAATGTGCAATGAGATGTGCTATTGTAAAAAAAAAAAATAGCACAATTAGCTCGTGTAGTCTCCCATAGCTGAGATTGTAAGCTATAACAGTTAACAGCATAACGATAGCATTGATAACTTATAGAAAAAAGTGCCTGATTTTGCAACAGGCCAATTACTTGCTTCACCTGCTTTATAGCAGTATCCTTTTTTTTTTGTTTTATTTTATTTGCACTAGCATGGAAAACAAAGATTGAGATCATTAAGCAAACTTTACTATGGTCATCCTGTATGAGCAATAAGATTCAAATGTGTATAATCAACCAGTTTTTATTTTTCCTGCAAGATTAGATCACAATCCATTTTCTTGGTTCTTTTCCTTAATTAAAACAGGATTTAGAGGTTCAAGAATGCAAATATCAGCAGTTTCATTTAATATTATACAGTATACTAACAGGCAAAATGCCCCAATTTGGGGTAACAAGCCATAGCAGACTGGATATGATATATACCCATATAGCAATGCATAGTGATTTCATTCTTTCTATTAGCAGGGTTTTTTTGCAGTTAACTTTTTCCTTTTTTAAAACATCTAAACAGAATGTATATGTATACTTGCAACATTTTTGTAGGAATACCTAAATATTTAGTTATAAGAACAGATAAGTTATATATATGTATATAAAGTTCTTAAAGAGGTAGTTATAAAAAATACACTATGCTTCTTTATTTCCTCTGTATTACATTATTATGAATACCTCTCAAAATAGATTGTAATGTAGTAGTTTTCCCACCCGTTTGGTGCCAAGAGTGCCAAGAGTTACCTAACAATTTGGATTTATTTAAAAATATTACTTGGTACCTTTTTTAATGAACAATTTTCAAGCATTGCTTATCTTACCTCAGGCAAGTTTTAAAACCTATTTTCTCACAGTTCTATTAATATTGTGGTATTAAATACAAATTTCAAGGAACCACATTGATGACTTGAAAGGACTATTTATTTCCCCTTCCACTTGACCAACAATCAGAATATGGGAGCCATTTAATCATGGTTGTCCTCTATTGAGGCCATGCTGCTTATCACTGTGCTGAAGCACTTGGGCTGGATTGTTTTATTTAATCTGCTGGGCCATTCAGGAAGGTAATGATTTGCACTTCTATTTCCAAGAACAGGGAACTAGAATTCAGTAATTTTCTGGTCACAGGGGTGCTGGGATTTTGATGACACCACCACACGGAAAGACGTGTTGACTGTCTACTGAGTGCCACGCTCTGGGCTAGGCACTGAGAATAAGTATGAAGAAGCATGTTTTCTGCCCTGGAAGAGCTCCCACATGTGTAATCTAGGAGCAAAAAAAGCAATTACATGTAGTGTGGTGTGTTTTCACTGGGAGTATTATGAGATCACAGCAGGTAAACATACACACACACACACACACACACACACACACACACACAGGTAACTCTGCCTAAGGGTAAGGGTTGGGACTGTGGAGAGGATTCCCAGGGATAACTAACACAGAAGTTAATATATAAGCTGGTTCTCAAATAACTAGTAGAATTTCATCAGATGGAGAAAAGGGAGAGAGATCTGAGACAGCATCATGTAGAAAGTCATGGAGGTTTATAGAAATGTCCAGAATATTTGGGGAAATCATAAGTAGTTGGGAGGAGGTGCAGAGAAGCATGTCTGCAGATAAAACTGCAAGAGTAGGTTGCGAACATAATATGTGAGTCTCTAAAGGTGAGCTAGTACCTTCTGTTTGGGGGAGAGCAGAAAAGAGGGGCAAGCGTACAAGTAAGAGCCATAAACCAGCCCTTCTCTTCCCACGCAGGTTTGGGTGGCTCTGCCAGGTGCCTGGAGTGCATGCTACCAGTGTCCCTTCCTCTCTCCCCCATATACCTTCCACCTGCCTGTCCAAGCTCCACCCACGCAGCCCAAACAGCCCTTCAGTGGTGGTCTCTCCCGCCCAAGTTTTGTGCACAGCCTTCTAGGACAGCGGTTCCCAATCTTCCTAATGCCGTGACCCCTTAATACAGTTCCTCATGTTGTGGTGACCCCCAACCGTAAAATTATTTTCGTTGCTACTCTATAACTGTAATTTTGCTACTGTTATGAATTGTAATGTAAATATCTTTTTGTTTTCCGATGGTCTTAGGTGTCCCCTGTGAAAGGGCCGTTCGACCCCCAAAGGGGTCGCGACCCACAGGTTGAGAACCGCTGCTCTAGGAGGAGGGAGAGGCTCCTGGGCACTGGCCAAGTGAATCCTGGAAGCTGGCAGAGGGTCATGTGGGCAGGGAACCCTGAGTCCCGATACCCAAGTGTGGTCTAGTAGAGGACTTGGCCCCTGGCACTCCTTGTTAGGTGGGGAAGGGTGTGTGTGGAAGACCAAGGGGGTGGGTGAGGTAGGGGGGCAGGATGTATGTCCCATAAAATGGCACAAAGGCAAGGTCCATGTCCAAGGGCAGTGCTGTTCAAAGTCATGCTAAGGCATTTGTATCAGGGTGAAACATGTAAAATTGCCACTTCGTAGGTCACAAATGATTAGATATGGGCCATTTCGTAATGTTCATTCTCATACCCTTTTGAATATCACAGATATTAAAAGGAAAGTAATAAGAATAGAAGGTCAAAGATGGATGCATAGAAAACAGCTGAGGAAAAGAACCCACAACACAGACTAAGAAATGAAGAGGAATGTGAACCTGTCATGTGTCAAGTGCTTTTCATGTCGCTCTCATACCAAGTCTTTAGGGAAGTTCAATTATCACTATTTTACAGATGGAAAAAGGGAGACTCAGAGAGGGTGACTGGCCTCAAACCAGGGAGTTCTAAGGTGGCAGGAGTGAGATTTGAACCCACAGGTTTGGCTTCATGGGTGTGCCACCGGCCTAGGGACACTGTACTTGCTTTAGTGCTCCACTGTCACTGCCTTGAGATTCTTAATAATTGTGTGACAGAGGGATGCACATTTTCATTTTGTGGTGGTCACTGCAAATTAACATAGCAGGGCCTGGTTCCTGGCTCTAAAATCCGTGCTTTTTCCCACTATACAAACTACCTTCTAACTAGTCACAAAAAGGCCTTGGTTTTTCCTTCTGTGCTCCACAGCATTCAGCATTCCACTCTCTTGGTGCTTAGCTTGTATTTAATTTGTGACCCAGAGCCAGATTAGGGGATGAGCAACTATTCTAGTTACTGTGGCACGCTGCTCTATGAAGTGATACTTATCACTGGAACAAATTGACAAAATGTAAGTGGACCGCTGCCAAGCGACTGCCCTTGAGGGGAAGTTTTAAAAACAAAACAAAACAAAACTTCGTTCTAAAACAAGCCTATATCCCTAAATGATTTTTTTCTGCAGTATTCCACAAGCAGTAACCCTAAAATGAAAGTCAGCAGAACAGAGATTCCAAAGCCAAATAATGTGCGAGGAGCACTGTGTAGCTGATAAGTGTTACCTACATTGCAAACCCTTCAGTTTGCCTGTAAGGAATTTGTCTGGTTGAAAAAAAAAAAATCATGAAAGAGAGCTAGAAAAAGAAGGCGAGCTGTAGGAAAAGTGAATTGACTGCCTGATGTTTCCACGATACTGACTCTGCTTCAATTAGTGAAAATTAATTTGTTTCTAGAAAATCTATTTCTCCCCAACTTCACTACATTAAAACTAAGCAATTAAAGAACATTGTGTGAAGGAGTAACTGACCAGGAGCTTTCTGTTCTGGCCATCCCTTGTTGACTCATACCCGTGGAGTGTCTGTGGCAGGCTCGGGGCAGGAATGATTCTCTGCAGCCCACGATAACAAGAACAAGAGACTGGGCAGACATTTGAGATATGACCTCTTGGTATGTGAAGAAAGGAAAGAGTACCATGAGCCTAACTGATCTCCCAAAAGCTGACCCTGCCTCTCCAGATGACGTGTTCCACTGTCATTGGCCAAATTGGGCCATCCATATGCAAACACCTCAACCAAGCATCTTCATGGGGTGTGTTGCCACCATGATTGACTTAGACTAATCAGGACCTTTCCCTGGATGAGAATGACGACAATCTACCCCATAGAGTGGGAGGGGCTATCCGATGAAAGTAGGATTCTGCCAGTAAGGATGAAGGGAAATGGATGCTGGGTGGGCCACCAACAGTGTCTGCTGTACCACACCTACTTAGGTGGGAGAACCTTATCAGGGAGAGTCTTTTTTAAAATTATTTTTTATCTTGGCCGCTTTAAAAAGTTGTCAGAATTTTGGTGGGTGGCCAAGAATGGACTTGTCTAATCATTTGTCCATCTCTCTAAGGACAAACTGGATATTACAATATTTCTCAAACACTGAAAATATCTTATTAAATTTAAGAGCCTAGGGCTGTACAAATGCATCTCCCTACTTGATGTTGTTCTCTCCAAACCTTCTGTTTATCTCACCTGTAAAAAAAGTCTAAGAAAAATATTCCCCTTGGACAGATCTCTCTGGCCATTCATTAGGCATTCAACTGACTACAGTGCCCCCTTCCCCAATCTCCTCTCACTCTCCGTTTTCACAAAGGGACTTGTCTTAGCTATTTGCCTGACTGTCCCTATTTAATCGTCTAATCCACTCTTATTTGTGCTAGTCTAAAATAATCTCCCCTTTCATGTTTAAGAGTATTTATTACAGCATTGTTTGTAATAGCAAAAAATTGGAAGTAGGCTACATATCATCAGTGAGGAGCCGATTAAAGTGTGGGCCCTTCATATCTTGGAATACATTGCAAATGAAAAAAAGCAAAAGAAGGAAAGAGAAAGAAAGAAAGAAAGAA